CTGCCTTGCAAGCAGGCAGTCGTGAGTTCGATCCCTGGTACCGATAAAAAGGAAAAAGACAAAAAAAAAAAAAAAAGAAAGAAAGAAAGAAATTACTGGGACCCAAAGTGTACAAAGCACCCTGAGAAAGGGAAAGGGGAAGAATTGTCTAAAAAAGGAAGGCAGAGGACATTGTTAATAGTATATCAGGATTTAAAAGCCACATTAGTCTTATCGCTGTTTAGTTTGATTTTATTCTGTTCCAGTCTGTCTACTCATACTAGATTTGAGGGCACAGACAGATATCCCAAAAATAGCAGGATATACCACAGTAACCATCTTTAATTTCCTATTAAATTAACCTGAAGCCCTGTATTATTTACACTGTCTTACTATGACTGAATTTACTTGAATCTGGTTTGTTAAATTGCTGTTTTGTCTTGACTGATTTTATTTGAATTTGGTATGCATGATAGTATCAAGTCTAAGAGCAGAGGCAACTACTCTGAAGACAACAAGATGCAATAAGATATCCATTCTGGCTTGATTATTAACTGCTTTTGAAGTGCTACAATGTCTCCAATGTTGTGTTTTTATTAATATTGCTATGTAGTGCTATGTTCAATTATATTATGCCTGATGATATAGACAATTCTATTGAAAATAACTAGAGACATCATGGCAACTACTGTAGATCACCTAGTATTGTGGCTTTGTATGTCTTTTTCATTTCATGTTTTTCTAGGAATTTGTTTTGTTGTTTTGTTTTCCCTCTAATATGGAAAGGATAGGTATACATATAGAGATTCATGCATGTGTAGAATTTCTAACCAATTTACAAGAATAGACTATATAATGCACGATGTAATAAACCGATACTCTGAAGAAAAAGAGACACTAAAATACCCAGTGCTAATTCTGTAGCATCATGATATATATCTAGCAATACTATTATTCTCTGTCCAGAGTGATATTAGTCTGTTTCTTTTGTTTAATTTCAGCACATGATATGGACAGCTATTTTGAAGAGAATGGAGACATTATGGCAGCCATTGTCGACTTCCCTATTGTTTGATCTTGAAGACTTAAAATGCTTTCATCATCCTGTTCTGATCAGTTATTACTATTTTGTTCAGTATGAATTCACCGTGTGTGAAGATACGGACAACTATTTGGAAAAAAGCAAGAGACAATATGATAGGCAGTGAAGATCTCCAGTGGTCTTGCTTTGAAATCTGTTTCTTAAATTGTTTTTTTATGATCTATTTTGTTCTGTTTTATTTTACCCTCTTTAAAATAATAAAAAAATAGGTATTGATGATCTGTATTTCTGCAGGGTCTGTAGTGATTTCAACCTTTTCATTCCTTATTGCATGGATTTGAACTTTGTCTTTCCTCTTTTTGATAAGGTTGGCTAGGAGTGTACCAATTTTATTTATTCTTTCAAAGAACCAACTCTTCGATTCATTAATTTTTTGTATTTTTTCTTAGTTTCACTTGCATTAATTTCTGCTCTGATCTTTATAATTTCCTCCATTCTTTGGGCTTTGGCCTTGCCTTGCTCTTCTTTTTCTAGAAGTTTGAGGTACAGCATTAAGTTGTCTATGTGTGTTCTTTCCATTTTCCTAATGTGGGAGTTTAGTGCTATAAATTTCCCTCCTATGACTGCTTTCATTGTGTCCCATAGGTTTCAGTAATTTGCATTTGCATTTTTGTTCCACTGTAGAGATTAATTTCTTTTTTAATTTCTTCTGTGATCCACCAGTTGTTAGAGAGTATTTGATTTCCATGTGTTTATGGGGTTCTTGTTTTTTTTTTTTGTTTTTTTTTTTTTTTTGGTCTTTTTCGTTTTTTTATCGGTACCGGGGATTGAACTCACGATTGCCTGCTTGCAAGGCAGGTGCTTATGCCGCTGAGCTAAATCCCCAGCCCATGTGGAGGGGTTTTGTTGTTAATTTCCAAAATTATTACACTATAGTCAGACAATATACATGGGATTATTTCAATTCAATTCCTCTGCATTTACTTAAGCATGTTCTGTGAGTTAGTATATGATCTATTTTAGAGAATGACCCATGTGCAGCTGAGAAGAATGTGTATTCTGATGTTGTTGGGTGAAAATCTGTGCACTTTTACTAAGACCATTTTTTCACAAGTTTGATTTAGTTCTGTTATTTCTTTGCTGATTTTTTTGTTTGGTTGATCTGTCTTTTTGTGACCATAAGGTGTTAAGGCCCACCCATTTTAACTGTATTGTTTATTTGGTTTTGCATGTCTAATAAAATTTGTTTTACATAGTTGGTTGCTCCCATATTTGGTGCACATTATAATCTCTTCTTGAATTTTTCCCCTAACAAATGTGTAGTGATCTTCTTCATCTTTTTTGATCATTCTTGGTTTGAAGTTCATGTTGTCTGCAAACTACATGCTACCCCTGCTTTTTTCTGGGTTCCTGTTGCATGGAGTATTGTTTTCCATCCTTTGACTTTTTGTTTATGAATTTCCTTTTGAGTTAAATGTGTTTGTTGTACCCAGTATATTGTTGGATTTTGTTTCTTAATCCACTCTGCCAATCTGTTTCTTTTTATTGGTGAGTTGAGACCATATATGTTGATGGATATAACTGATAGGTATTGACAACACTTTCAAGTTATCTTCTGCTGTTGGTTTTCTATTTTTTCTGTTTATTTGCCATGCTTAGTGGTTTCCTTTTGTTGTTGTTCTTGGGATTGTAGTTATCTCTGTCTCTTTCTAGAATGTCTTTTAGTAGTCTTTGTAGTGTTGGTTTGGTGAGTGAATTTCTTCAGTTGTTCTTTGTCATGGAAGTATTTTATTTCTCCATCAATTTTCAAAGATAGTTTTTCAGGATACATTAATCTGGGATGAAAGTTGTTTCCTGTCAGGACCTAAAATACTTCACCCCAAGCTCTTCTTGATTTGAAGGTTTGTATTGAGTAGTCTGCTGTGATTCTGATAGACTTTCCTTCATAGGTGATCTGTTTAGTTTTTCTGACAGATTTTAGTACTCTGTTCTTGTGCTGAGTTTCTGATATCCTAAATATTATATGTCTTGTTGAAGATTTATTTGGGTTATAGTTAATTAGAGTTCTGTATACCTCACTTATCTGGTTATCAGACTCTCTTCCCATGTCTGGAAAATTTTATTATTTCAGCAAATAGTCTTTCCAGGTCTTTTGTGTTGACCTCTGCCTTTTCATTGAAACTTATCAATCTTATATTATTTCTCTCTGCATCATCTTGCAGTTGTTGAATTATTGTTTACTGGTACCTTGTTATTTTTAAGAGATCTTTTCTTTTGTGGTTGTAATCTTCAATCCTGTCTTCAAGGTCTGAGATTCTATCTTCAGCTTCATTCAAGTGGTTTTGCCAGATTTCAAAAGAATTTTAAATTTCTTAAATAGCCCTTTGGTTTCATGCATTCTAATTGTGTCTTATATTGTTCATTCAAGGTTTCTATCATTTTCTTGTGTTCCTCTATTTTTTATCTAGAGCTTCTTTAGATACACATAGCATTTCTTTCATAATGTTTGTCATTTCATTTATTACCTGAGAGAATACTTCTGACCTGATTTCCTCTATAACTGCATGTACTTGTATCTTTACTTCATTTGCTATCATTTCAGAAAGTTCAGTTCTGCAATTTCCAGTGTCTTCCATTCAGTGTCTCTTAGGTTTGTGCTCAGTGGGCTGGAGGACTGAGACAGCCTCTTGCTCTTTCATTTTTTCATTTTCATCTGGAACCCAAGTGGCTAGCCAGGCACCCCCCTGATGGACTGCACTGGAACGCTGCACCGGGCAGAGTTTCAATCCCCGTGGCTAGCCAGGGCACAACCCTGACCTATGGTACCAGGTCCTTATGCTCTGTGGTCTGTGAGGCTGGCTGGGTGTTTCCCCGAAGTGCTGTACTGGGCTGCTCTGGGGTGCTGGGCTGGACAGAGTTTGGATCCTCTTGCTGCTAGCAGGGACAGACTACAGGAGTGTGTTGCTGGGGCCTAGAACCTGTTTGAATGGAGTTGGGAACCGGGGTCTGGCACCCAGGTGGCTAGTAAGGATGAATTCCCAGTATCACCATGGCCTAGTCCCTGGCTGGGTGGAGTTCAAAACCTCTGGAACCCAGGCAACTAGGTGGAGCATGACACAGTGTGGAACTGCCTGGACCTTGCCTCTGGTTGGTAGGAGTTCAGAGCCTCTGGAGTACATAGCTAGCTAACCAAGTGTACCTCCAGTGTATCACCAGGGCCTTGCTCTTGGCTAGGCAGAGTTCAGAACTTCCTCTACCTGCCATGTGGCTAGCTGGGCCACATCACTGAACTGTGGATCTGGGACCTTGTGCTCTGATGGGCAGAGCTCAAATTCTCCAGGACCCATCTTCATTCTCTGATGGACAACTCTGGGCTCAGTGCCTCTGTGACCAGTGAGGCCAGCTGGGCATTCCCTTGATGGATCATGCTGGGACACTGGGCAGAGTGCAGAGCCTCTGTGCAGCTAGCAAGGATGCACTCCTGGAGTGTGGTCCTGGCCTGGCGGAGTGACCCAGCTAGATAGGTGGAGCATGACCCTGAGTGTCTGTCCCTTTTCAATTTTATTTTCCCTTCACTACTTCTATTTCTCTTTGCTCCCATTTAATGTTCTATTTTGTTTTATTTCTTGTCTATTTGAGACAGGGTCTCACTATGCAGTTCAGGCTGGCCTCGAGCTCACTTTGTAGCCCAGGCAGGTGTCGAACTTGCAAGAATCCTCCTGCCTCAGCCTCCCGAGTTACTGGGATTACAGGTGTGAGCCACCATGCCTGGCCTCATTTAATGTTCTTATACTTCTTTTTTCATTTTCCTCTCTCTCAAATCTCTCCCTCTTTCCTACCTTTCTCCATTCATTATTAGTTCCACTAAAAAAAGTCCTCCAAATTCTTTGCCCATTTAGCATGAAGTAGAGATAACCAGATTTACTGAAATAGAACTTATTGTTTGATTCAGTCACTAAAAATATACATAGTCCACACCTTGTCCATTTCAAACATTTTATTTTCTCCTAACGAAACCAGGTTCCTTGTTTACTGTATTTTCCCAAGACATATGAATGAGGAATCTACCGTGTATTGTATGCATTGATATATTGTAGCCATTTTGTGTATGTGAAAATTTAACATTTTCTCTGTCTGTTTCCTCTGTATGGAATTTACATGTATTTATCATTTATCCATAAACTATTTTTATTAATGAACGCATATTATTATGATGCACTTAAATTTTTGGTTATTCATCAATTTATACAGATTGGAGTAATTTCTACCTTTTAGCTTTTTTTTTTTTTTTTTTGTCTTTTTCCTTTTTATCGGTACCAGGGATCAAACTCACGACTGCCTGCTTGCAAGGCAGGCGCTTATGCCGCTGAGTTAAACCTCCAGCCCCAACCTTTTAGCTTTTTTAAAAAATCGAGGTATTACTGTAAAATGGATTCCAACCTGCTAAATACACCAAGTTCAAATTTCATATCAGCAAAGAATGGAACAGCAGGTGCAGAAGGGAAGTCAGAAGTTCATGGGCGAGTCAGGATCCTGACAGCAGAGTGGAGCATGAAAGTAGGTTGGAACTGAAGATCCTGAGGGTTTTGGTGCAGTAAAATTTCATTGTCCAGGAGTGCTCTGTACAGTAGGATAATTTCACAGGTTGCCTCAAGTCAAGCTAAAACTGATCTATTGGGTTACAAATGCTAAGCTAATATTGATCTAATATAAAAAGGAGGTACATAGCAAGGATTCATCTACAGTAATCACTAACTTCAGTTTATCTGTAACTGATGCCACAAAAGCTAAGGCATTGTTGGAAGGAGGAGGAGGAGTAAGGGTCTGGGTGTTCCACCTTTCATCTTCTGGTTTGTTCCATTATTTGGGCTTACTTGATCCGATAGCTACAACTTTTTTTTTTTTTTTAAAGAAAGACTAAACAAAACAGAAAATAGGTAGAAATAATACATACGTTCAGAGAAAAAAGCCAACCAAAGAATCCATATTCACATTCATAAAAACAAGAAGAAAACAAAAAAGAAAAAGAAAAGGCGAAGTGTGCACTTAAAAGACCTCTCTCTGTTGTCCTTGGTAGACAAATTGGGCAGACAGAGCCCAGATCCAGGTCCATTAATCCCAGCAAGCCAGCCATAGGTTGTGGCAGGGCTGTGGATAATCCTGGCAAGCCTGAGCCTTTAGGTTCACTGAAGTTCAGGCTGGTTTGGCCTGTGAGCCTGGAACCTGATTTGATTAGCCTGAAACACTCTGTGTGCTGTGTGCTCCCCCTGCTTGTCTTAGCTCAACTCCCTGCCACAACCTCCTGCCAATTTGATCTGCCTTTTGCCTCACCCTGACACTGGGAGCCACTAGGGGGAGCCAGTCCACAGCTGCTCTGAGTTCCTAGTTCATGTGACCCCTCTCCAATATGGCTATTGGCCAGCTGCCCTCTCCTGGGGGATGCCTGAACCCTAATAACTCAACAGGCACTTCAGCCCTCAGCAGGCACTGCTCCATTACACTGGTGCATTTCTCCTTGGAGGCCTCTGGGTTGCCTGGCTGTCACTGTGCATCAGCAGGTTTTTTTTTTTTGTCTTTTTCCTTTTTATCCGTACCGGGGATTGAACTCAACGACCGCCTGCTTGCAAGGCAGGTGCTTATGCCACTGAACTAAATCCCCAGCCCCTCATCGGCAGGTTTAAGAAAGCTGCATGAGGTCTCTTTTTGCTCTCCCTTTGGGCTTCAAGTCTCACTCTAGATCCTTGCTGGGTGCCAGGGACAGACTTGCCTTCCTTCTCTTCCTCCTGGAGCCACAGTTCAGCATCTGGACACCAAATATCAAAGGGGCCATTTCTCTGCTGTTCACCACCCTGCCATCCTGACTTGCAGAAAGCAACAAATGCAAGACAAGTAGTTTCCCTTTGAGCTCACCCCTGACAAGCAAAACTCCACTCCTCCATCCACAAAAGGATAAGGTAACTAAAATATGGTGGACCCCTCTCCATTTTTGGTAACCACAAAGGGCTTTTTCTTAGTATTCAATGAACACTCTCCTACCTTCCTTCTTATGTCCTCAAATGTAGTGTTCAATTTTGGGAATAGAGAACTCAGCTGTGTATATAAAAAAGTGAGCTGTATCACTGGGCATGTGTGACACAGCTAGAAGGTCACCTAAAGGTGATGACACCATGCATATGTTTCACATTCTTGTGAAAGATCTGAGATGAACAGCAGGGGACCAGCTGTCGGGAGGACAGCAAGGTGTTCTCAGGAGGTGACAGCTGAATCATGGGTTGTGGGCACTGGCTGACAAAGAAGGAGACATGGAGATCACAGCAGAAGGGACTTTTCTGCCATGAACACGTGAGTGGGGACAATGACCCTTCCCCACAGAGCAGGCTGGTGCCAGAAGTTATGGCCATTGAAGGGCAAGCAAGGCAGGAAAAGCACATCACCCACTTCAACCAGCTGCCTGGGGCACTGAATGGAGATTTGAGAGGCAGACACAATGCTTGGAAGATGCTCCATAGGACCTGAGCTGTAAGCCACCTGATAACACATCCCAAGGTCTGATTCACTCAGAAGGTGGAGATGTCCACTCTGACCCAGAGGAGGCGGCTCTGGTGTCCCAGAGTCTGCGAATCTGTTCAGTGGGTCCACCCTGCTGCCACAGAGCTCCCTGCTGCTGCCCTGCCCTGAGGGGAAGGGGCTGGAGATTAGGGATGAGGTCAAGAGAGAGGGACTTTGTCTCATAGCACAGCCCATCTGGCCTGTGCCCTCTCCTTTCTTCCCCTCTCCAGAAGCCAGCTGTCCACTGTGCCTGAAAAGTGCTGTCTCCTTTCTCTCACTTCTCTGTATACTGACATGCATGCATATCAAAGTGATAGCTACATTTTTAGCTGCAATATCACTGTAAGAAACTCTGAAACCTATAAGACATCAAAAAAGAGTATCACAAAGACATAAGCAAATATTAGCACAAAACTTTTCAATCAACTGAAAGAAATTAGTGGTGGAAATAAAACATTATTATATTAAATATTGTAATTACTATTTTTATGAAATTTTATTTTTTTCATAAAACAAAAAAGGAAACAAATGTATTACAAAAGAATATAGGAGTTCTTGATAGGGATTGGATGGATTGTTTGGGGGAAAATGTGATCTACTTTGGTCCCTGGACCCTGGAGAAAAGCATTTCAGGAATCCTCCTTTCAGAGGTCAAGGCAGCAATGGGAATCACGGTCCTCCCTATGGGAAATGCTATGGTTACTGGTGAGATGCTCATTCACACAGGCTCTGACCTACTCTTAGACACCAGGGATGGAAAAGCGATCCACTTCTCCCATTTCTCTGCCTGGACCATGCCGGGTTGTCTCTCAGTGTACAGTGAGATCTAAGCAGGAGCTCTGAGCTTTTCACAATGGCACAGGCTTTAAAAAGGTTTTAGGTGAAACTGTCTTTAGGAGCTTTGAGGCCAATAAGCTCTTGTGCTCTATGCAGAAGTCACCATCCAGGAAGGACAGTGGGCAGAGGCAGCGCTGACTGTGTAAAGCAGGGACTCCTGTGCATACGAATCTCTCCTTAGTTTCAAGCACACCAACCACTCTTTCCCATACACATCATAGAGGTAGGATGAGCAGGGGAGGGGACAGCATCAGGGAAGAGGACAAAGTGAGACCCTGCGCTGGGCTCGCTGTACCTGCCTCTCTCAGCTGGTGTCTTTTCTGCTTAGCTTGTGCTCATTTAACTGTTCATCCACAAAAAAATCTGCCACCTTATTGCTAAATTTCTGGCAAGCTGTGTTGTCAGAGCACACTGAATATTGCCAAAGGCCAGAACAGCCAGACCTCCTTCCTCCCTCACCCTCTAAATGCTGCCCATGCAGCCACAGCCTCAGGAAGCCAAGCCCAGTACAGTTGCTGGTGAAGACAAACTTGCTATTCAAACTCAGGTTACAGCACAGCATGTAGAGCCACTCACACTGGTCTGAAAGTGGTCAATGTCTGGCAGTCTCCAGTGGATTCCGTGGACACATGGTGGCTTTGTGCCTCCCTGCTGTGAAGAACTTACTAGTTTCCTAAGCATCCTGTAAGGGGAAGGAGATGGAGACTCCCTGCCCTGGGGAAGCACACACCTACCCCTCAGTGGCTGAAGTCTTTACCCTTTTCCTTCCTCCAGCACCAGCTGGTGACTTTTCATCCCATGTTACCCTCTGTCTTTGAGGTCGCAGGTTCTAAGATTCCTTGCCTGGAAGTTGCTGCAGAGGGTCCCATGAGCTCTGGTTCCCTAGGCAGGGACGGTGTCCTCATGGGTTGTGGGTGGGGACTCCAGCCTTTCTCAGAGCAGCTCTGTTTGCTGAGGTCACTGAGGAGCTCTGGGCAGTCCCTGGTGCAGCCTATGGCATTTATTTCTGGGACATCCTTCACCAAGCAGCCCTCTGGGGTCGAATGTGCCCAGGATGTAGTGCTCCACACAGTGTGTTTCGTCTTTTCTCTGCCAGAGATTAAAAGGACTACAGAAAAGCCTTAGATAAGGGAGGTTACTATGCACTGCTGATAGGAAGGTCAGGAACATTGTGTGGATGAAGCTTGTTTCAGTGCAAATCAGAGGTTCCTTCCTTCAGTGACTGGACAAATGCTGGAGTCTCCCCACTGCATTACATCCTCCCTCAGAATGGACATGCACAGCCAGAAACAACCTTTGAGGGCTCACAATCCAGTGAGGCAGAAAAATACTCATCAATCACATAACCATTATAAACCTACAATCCCCACACTCTGGGGGCAGAGACAGCAGGATCGCCATGAGTTTGAGGCCAAACTGGGCTCCATAGCAAGTGTAAGGTCAGCCTCGATTCCATGGTAACACCCTGTTTCAAAAAATGTTTTTGTTGGTTTAACATGTGAAAAAGCCCAAATGTGCAATGGGAAAATGGTGAAATAAATTATGACAAGCTCTCGCGATTTAATATACAGCCTTGGAATTGTTTCTAATAGTTGGGAAACTATGAGACCCTGGGGGCTTCACAGTGGGATGTGAGGTACAGATGCCCCCGTGTCTAAAGCCCCTGCTACTACACAGAAAGGCTGCTCATGTTCCACAGTGAGTGGCGCCTGCTGCTGGTGCTGCTCAGGGCTCATCCTTAGGAAAGATCCACATCCTTTCCATGAGGCCTGCAGATCTGAATGATCACTGGCTTTGCAGTGAGGGCTGGGCATGCTCTAGATGAGAGACTAGCTGTAATATGGCAGGGTGAGGGTCCTCTGCACTCTTCCTGCTGAGACTCAGAGATTGGTGTGGCCTGGCATGCTGCCCTTCAGTGCCAGCTCTGCAGCGCTCACCTGTCTGTCTGCTGTTGTTTATGCTTGCTATTTCCAAAGACAAAAATGTGTGCCAAGATGTGCTTCTAGGGAGGCAGTGGAAGTCTGATTTCCAAGTGTTCCTGGGCATCTGATTAAACCCCTTTGTATTAACCCAGGCCCGATGTGCCCATGTGTTACCCCCTCTTCTAGAATCTACTGACAGTGGCTGTTTAATTGGAAAACTTTTTCCTTCAAAGTCTGAAAATAAAGCCTAATTGTAAGTTTTTGGATTTTTACTTTTTAAAGCAGCTTGAAGTTTTTGAATAAAAATTAAGAAGCAGTGAGGTCAGACACAGAAGTACAGAGGTCATGCACAGCAGTACAGGGTAGGGCATGGGTTACAAAACAGGGAGGTGCTAGCTTCCCCTGTGACCTGGAAAGAGCTCTCTGCTGCAAGTTAGTTTCCCTCTGTGTGCAGTCACTCACGTGCTTTAAAGACCTCAGGGGCCACTGTAGGTGAGACTGAGGACTGAGGGTGACTGTTGGACTGAGGGTGACAACTGACATGTCCTCTCTGCCACCTGAAACTCATCCTGCTTTGCAGGTGGTGTCCTCATGAAGTTGGGGCTGTTTTCACATTGTGAACTGAGGAATGCTACTGGTTTCCTTGTGCCACAGGTTATGTGACAAGAGACCTCCTTTCAGGCCTCCAACACTTCGTGAGTCTGACGTAATCTCAATACTGAGGAAGCAGCTGGCATCAGGATACTGCTGGTCTCTGAAGGCACAGAGAATGACCTGGAAGAGGCCCATGCCTACTGGACCTGACCCAGTAGTGGGGAGTTCTACATGGAAAGGAGATCCCACAGCCAGATTGGCTCTTTAGGGACACTGTTCCTGCCACACGGAGCTGCAGTTTTTGCAGAAAGAGCAGAACTGTGGCATGTTCACGTCACCCACCTGATGGATGATAATTTACCTATCACCTTATCAGTGTACAACCTGTCACACCTGTGTTTGCCCTTGCCTGTCAATCACTGCTCTTTTCAGGGATAGGGATAGTTTCAGGCACAGCTGAATCATCGCTAAGAACAGCAGAAGACTTTTCTGCCTTTTCAGTGGCAGGTTTTGATTACACGTCCAGGAAATGATGGACAGGTCTTCTTGCCTGGAGTCCAGAGAGGACAACTCCCTCCTGCGCACACTGTGGTCCTCACATGAATGCCACCTTTCACTCCTGTTCTCACCTGTCCAGCCTGTGTTTCACCTTCCCCATGTGACACAAGCTGTGCCCAGCCACCTTACCAGTGCACTACCTGTCCCCCACCCTGGGCACCACTTGTGTGGGGCTCCCACAGCAGCAGCTAAATGGGGTGGCAGCTACAAAGGCAGCTGCCAGCTTTGCAACGACCAGGCATTTTCCTTTCAACTGATTAAGAAGACTATACAGTGCTCCAGCAAGAGATAGACCCAGGAGTGAAGCTGCAGCTCAGCTGCACCTTGCCCCACTGCAAGTACACAGGCAGGGCAGAGCGCACGCCCAGTGGGAACTCAGGAGGGGCAGGGGGTAGGCAGCACACAGGACTCCTGGACTTCTGGGCTGTGTCCCTGTGAGCTGGATTTTCTGGCTCTGATTCATGGGACCTTCATAGTGTTAGGCCGAGGTCAGGTTTATTTTACATTTTACTTGGGAATTCTACACTGTATATGTGTTCCTTTGCACATACTGTGGAGCAGTTCAATCAAGATCACTGACATAGGCACTAGCTGGCCTTTTTTAGGGTGTGTGGTAACACAACCTAATTTTAGTAATTCCCAACAACACAGTACTGCTGTTATGTTGTCACTGTTTGGCTGTCCTCACCTCACTCCACTTAGCTGAAATCTTCCACCTTTCACTGAAGTCCTCCTGCCCCAAGCCCCTTGGTTTATTTTCTTCCATACAGCCATTCAGGCATCCCAGCACCAGTGACTTTTGTTGGAGACATTTTGCATCACATCGCTGTGGTGCTTTTATCAAGAAGTTAAATGACTGCGCAATCTGTGTATACACTTTCTTACCTGTGTATTCTCATGCCAGGGCCACATGGTGACTTTGTTAAGCCTTGAGGTGCAGAAGGGCTCATCTTCCAATTTTGTTCAAGATCACCTTAGATATGCTCGGTCTTCATCTTTCCACAGAACTTTCCAATCAGCCTGTGCATTGCTACCCAGAAACTGCTGAGATCGTAATGACTCTGTAGGTTCACTTGGGAAAATTTACCTTGGCAGGATTTAAAGTCTTCCCCAGAATATGGTATACAGCTGGGTATGGTGGCACGAGCCTCTAACCCTAATTCATGCTTCTTTTCTGCCTCTAAATTAAGCCACTGAAAAGCATTATCTGTTCTTGTGATTATGTAGTTGGCTTCAACTTCCTTATTATTTCATTATTTGTTTTTGGTACTGGGAATCAAACTCAGGACCTCACATTTGCTGTGCTGCTGAGCTAGATCCCTGGCCCTCATTTTGTTTTTATGGGACAGGGCCTCGCTATGTAGTTCTGGGTAGCTTTGAACTCATTATGTAGCCCAGCCTGGCCTCAAACTCACAGTGATCCGTCTCCTGCCTCAGCCTCCCAAGTGTTGGGATTATCCTTATTTTGAAAAACTGTGATACAAGCAACCCTCAGAAGTTACAGCAGATCCCGGGCTATAGCTCAGCAGCATGAGCACCTGCCTGGCAAGCTCGAGGTTGTGAGTTCGATTCAGCTGTACCAAACCAAACCAAACCAAACCAAAAACCCAGAAGTTAGAGCATCTTCACACACCCACAAGACAGGACGTGTGCAGCCTGCTTTTGACTGTTCTTAGGACTGAGCCTGAGTGGATGTGGAAGGCACTCCTTGCTTCCTGCTGCCCTGGGTGCCAGGTGCCATCTTGTCCCAAGAAGGCCAGGGATAGCAAACAGGGTCCTGACCCTGCATTCTTCACTTCTCACCTCTTCACTGAGGGAAAAGGGAGACCTCTGCCCTCTTCTGTCCTCAACGTTCTCAGCTCCCAGGGAATAAATTCAGTTCTGTCTATTACTTCAGAGCTTTCTGAACTGAGACACCTAATTTCCTCTTCAGTCTCCAAGCCTCAGCAAAGGTGAGACACTGCTAGTTGACCAAAGAGCAGCTCTGCGTCAGGACCTGGATTCGAATCCTGGCCCTGGCACTTAGCATGGGAAGCTCACTTCGCCTCTCCCAGCCTTGGCACCTGCCTCTCTCAGTGACTGCCTGTCACTTCCCACTGCAGGTGTGCAGTGAATGGCCTGGCCTTCCCTAACACCACTCTGATTCTTCCCAGTTCCTGCTCTTGCCTCTTTTGTAAGCTCTTCTGCTTTTCCCTTTATTCTTCCTGCTTTGCGGTGTCTTTTTTTTACTCACTCAGGTACTAAGGACTAGATGCAGGCCTAGGCACCGAGCTACACCCTGGCCCCAGTTTTTATCTTCACTTTGACAAAGGGGTGTCACCAAGTTGTTCAAGTTGGGCTCCTGCTTGATGCCTGCCTGAGCCTCCCAGCGAGCTGGACAATGCTGGCTTGCTCTGGGAGACTCCTTTCAAATCTGGGATTTTCAGCTGTCCTCCTTACTCCGGACTCTTTCCATTCCTAAATCCAGTTATTCAGGTCTCAGAAGATGGCATTGATGGTCGGCCTCAGATAGGTGGGTCTAGGACAGGAGACTTGACAGTTGGCCCTCAGCCCCCAGTGTTCCCAGTCATTGGCCACATTCAGTTAACCTGTAATTTTTGATTTCTTTTGATTGTTGAGACAGGGTCTTGCTATGTAGCCCAGGCTGGCTTCAAATTCTCAAGCCTCCTATCTTAGTCTCTCAAATACTAGAGTTGCTGAGGTGCACACTGCCACACCTAGCTGTTCTTTAGCTCCCAGATCCCTCACGACACCTCTTCTCCAGCTGCCTGCAAAGAAATCTCCAAGACCTTCTCAGTAACTGCCCCAGGCTCAGTAACCAAACCGCTCTGTCCAGGCATAGCTTCTGTGTGGACGCAGAAGCCGACACTGCAAGCCCTCCTGCCCCACCTGTGGATGGCATGGGCATCACGTCTGCCACCTGCTGTGTCTGCTGCTGGCCCCAACAGCCACCAACCCTGCCACTCCTCCTGCAGTCCCAAACCAGGCTTGGGGACAAGTGAGGGCTGACAGCAGGCAGTTTTTTTAGAAGTGTTTATTGTGATCTCTCATTTCTTCTTCATGAAGGACAGCTTTGCCCAGAGAACCACAGTATGATCTTTAGGACACATGACTGCACTGAGAGCAGCTGGGCAGTGCACAGCACTGTCTGGCACTAAACTCCTCTGCTAAGGGACTGATTTGCTGTTAATCCTTGCTGCTGATACCAGGCCTTGACATGGTGATCCAGCCCTGGACCTCAGCAAAAGGAAACTCAGGACTTGTTCTGGATTCCCTTTGGGGAAACTGGGCGCCTCAAGTTTGGACCTCAACTTAGCACTTCTTTCCATCATTTCTTTTCGGCTGTTTAGATTGTATTGATTCAAGATTGGTGTCTGCCCAGTGGGCTGTCAGCACCCACGGTCTGAGGTCACAGCTAGGCCAAGGCTTTGTCCTCACAAGGGTACTAAGAGGTCACGCCCCGCCCAAAGGAAGTCCTCCCCGAAGCCAGCAGCACCCTGTTCCTTACTGACAGCCTCGCCTTGTCTCTGTCTCGTGGAGAACTGCTGCTCTTTGCTCCCTATCTCTGGGCTGGTGCAGGCTGCACCGGCATGGAGCCTCACAGTTACAGCACAGCCCCAGTCCTCGCTCAACACTCTGGCACCGACCTCTACTTAGCCTGCTTGGGTGACCTTCCTCTATCCACTGCAGCTTCCCCCAAGAAAACCTCCTACTTCTCTCTTATTCTGTTTGTTTTGGTTTTTTGTGACAGACTCTCACTTCCTACTGTAGGCTGGCCCTGAACTAGTGGCAACCCTCCTGCCTCAGCCTCCCGAGTTCTGGGATTATAGGCATGTGCCACCATGCCTGGCTCTCTTATTTGTTCTGATGCTTCAGTTGGACTTGCGTCCTCCATGGGCTCTGGCTCCAAGGGAAGAGATGGTGGCTTTGTGAGCTGCGTTGTTCCTCCACCTGTAACAAAACACAGAGCTGGCACTCTTGGTTCCGGATTCCAGGACAGATCTTTGTTTTTCGATATTGAATTAAGAGGAATCCTTGCTGGGTGAGGTGCTGGAGGCTATAATCCCAGCACACGGAAGGCTGAGGCTTGGAGCCCTACGATGACACACAACACAACCTGTCTCTTCTCTGAACGTTCTGGCCTCTGTACTCCCTGGCCATGAGAGGATCACTGCCAGTTCAAGGCCAGCCTAACTACACAGAAGACTGTCTCAAAAGAGCTCTGTATTTTCTAGACATCACAGACGATGGTGTCTGCAGCTGTGAGGGTGAACCCTAGCTGAAGACAGAAAGGCTGCCTTCAGCAAGTTGCTGAAAGAAATCTACCTGTGCTGTGCCAATCTGCGAAGAAGCCGGGAAGTGAAAGGAGGGGCTAGTGACAAAGCACTCAGTGAGGCCCAGGATGTGGCCCATCCAACCAGGGGTGCTGGATGTGTTACCTCAACACTGCTCACCCCAGGCAAACAGTTGCCACCCTACAGCGCAGGCCTCCGAGGCTGTCCTCTCTGAGGGGCTACTACCTGCAGGGAGCTTCCTGTAAGAGGCTGCCGAAGACATCGCCTGTCCCAGAGCTTGGTTGGAGCCCAGAGGCTGTTGGAGACTGGCAGGTTTGCTGGCAGAAGCGGTCTGGTGCTTTGCTTTGGGATCTGTCACTGGTTTAGTCCAGACCACAGCCTCAGCAACCTGGAGAGCAGCTCCCAGTTTCTGAGCCATCTCCACCATCTTGTGCAGCACAGGAAGAAAAGACACACTCGTGACTGGGAGAGAACACCCGAAGATACCACTGTCTGAGGACAGAGTGTTTGGGGTGGAAGCACTTCTCCAGGGAAGTCATTTGCAGGCAGCAGAGAAATCTCTGCCCTTAGTGGAGGATAGGAGCTTCATCATCTCAAAACCCCCAGTTCAGGTCCGCTGCTGACTGGCCTACACCTTGCCTTTCCTGCACGGGGGAAGCAGGAGGATGCTGGAAGAGACAGACCCTCCACCCCACACAGGATACCACAATTTCCTTATTGTTTTTTTCTAGGATAGTGGTCTCAGCCTGTAACTGACTGGCAGACTCGCACTGCAAGGAACGCCCCAGCCAAAAGAGGTGCATTTGGACTGCTGGGGCTCAATTCAGAAGTGTCAGAGCTTGCCTAGTGACCCCTGGAAGCTAGTGAGACGTACCTCAGCGTCAAACTCCAGAGAGCTGTTGTCCTTGAGATAGGTGACTTTCTTCTCCATCTCCTGGTACTGGGCCAGGGCACCCCTCTTCTCGCCCTGGTTGTACAGCAGCACAGCGTAATTCAGGTTTACCAGGGGGTTACACCTGCGACAGAAGGGGGCTTTGCAACAAACGCCCACCTAGGGCGCTCACCTCCCGTTAACCTGAAACGCAGCTGATCCGGTAGATTTCTCCGAAGAATGGCAGGGTGCAAAACATACATCACGGACCCTTGGAGAAGACTCAGCCCATCTTCTAACTGAAAAAGCAGGTACTGAGCAAGACGGAGTCTGGCCTTTCAGCCTCAACAGGAGTAGAGGGTGGAGAACCCTGCCCTGCTGTGTAACAGATGCCAGGGGAAAATCCTGGAAGTGACACGTAGCTTAGATTATGCTAAAGCCAGAGTCCTATGTAATACTCCGGCGAGCCCGCAGCTTTACCAGCAGCCACGTCCACAGCCCACGCTGGTCTCCTGATGACCAAACACAGGACTAGGGGCTTGCCCTGCCCGCTCAGGAGCTAATCCCACAGCAGGCCCAGCCAGGTCCAGGCTGTGAAGGGCGGCACCCTGTCCCCCGGTACTGGTCCCACCGGGCAGCTCACTTGTCCAGGTGCACTGCTTCCAAGTAGGCTTTCTTGGCATTCTCCGTATCTTCCAGGTTGGTCAGGGCCACTGCAATGGAGAGCATGGCTTAGTGGACAGAGCCCCAACGGATACTTCCACTGGGCTCCTGCAGCCTCAGCTGAGACCTCTTCTCTGTGTGCTGAGCTGCCAACCACTGAGCATCCTGCTTTTGCACTTTCGCTTTTTAAAATTTCTTTTTCTTTTTTGAGATGGGGTTTTGCTATGTAGGCCAAACCAGCTTCAAACTCTCAGGATCCTCTTGCCTCAGCCTCCTGAGTGCTGGGATTACACACATGTAGCACCACAGCCAGCTTGCAGTTTCTTTTCTGGCAGCACTCTACTTCAAACCCAAGTCAAGCTTTTCGTCTCCACCAGCGCCCCCAACTTCCTCCATTCCTGTGTCCACAGCACCGAATCTGACTCCATCCTCAACAACCATGGAGTACAGATTTTCATTTAGCAACAAACCCCACACCCTATTTTTAATCAGTATTTCCTGAAATGCATGAAAACAGCAACACACTGAACAGCACCAGTGAGGAGCTCTAGTAAGACAGCGGACAGGGACAGGCTGGGGTGGGGGTCACCATCCCCTCCCTCATCTGGCCTAGACAACCTTTCCCAGCCAAGCGCCACCATATCCTTGGACACTGTTGTCTGCTGCCTGCAACACAACTGAGTACCTCAGTTCACGGCACCCTCGGCCACTGTTCGTGTGAAGGCCACGCCGCTTCAGTGTCCCCGTTAAGACTGGACCATCTTTGCACTCAAGCCACCCAGTTACTTTTGCACCCCACAATGATGACTGAAAAACTCACCAGAAAACTACTCTTAAAGGGAACACAGAAACTCTGCTTGGTCTCCATTTACTAAGTTTAGTATTTGGATAAAAGATTTCCCACACAGAATACTTTTTTGTTTTTTGCAGTGCTGAGGAATAAACCTAGAATCTCTCACTTGCTAGGCAGACATTCCACGCCAAGCTGCCGCCCCAGCCCTGGTTACACATTTTAAATGTTTGAAAGTATTTGCCTGATTAACTCAGTTTTTGTGATGAATATTATCTGTATGGCATACATGGAGTTTTAGGAATGGAACCACACTGTATAACATGACAAGCCTGACTTGGGACAGGGATCTGTTTAGAGAGTAGCGGAAACAGCATTACTAGGCCAGTGTTAAACCCCAAGAGCTGCCTCTTACTGTCATCCCTCACACTGACTGGAGTCCATGCTGGCCGCAGTGGAGGCTGAGTCCTCCTACCCTCGGTTCAGTCTCTGGGACCTGGCTCAACTGTGTACATGGAAAGGCGGCTGGGGGCACAGTGCACTATAGTACATTGGCCTAGCACGTGCAAGGTCCCGGGTGTGATCACTAGTGCCCCTCCCGCAAAGAAAAGCCAGCAGAACAGAATACTAGGAGATGAACTAGGGATGAGCTCAATGTATCCTGTGGGAAATTCCTCTGGTGAGAAGCAAGCAGGCACTTTGCTCTCTCTTGGGCACGCACCAGATCCTTCCAGGGTCTTCCAGGAATGGCTTCTATGGGGCATCTAGCCAGTGGCCTCTGGTGTAACTCCTCTTCCCCTCAGCACACCCTGCCCTGTGCATCTCTTACCAGCCAGCAGCATGTAGAGCTCCCCTAGCTTGGGCTGGAAGTTGATGGCGGCACTGAGGAAGTGGAAGGCAGACGCGTACTGCTGCATGGTCAGGTGGACCAGGCCCAGGTTATACAGGATCTTCCAGTCAAAGGGGGCCAGGTAATTGGCTCGCTTCAGGCAGCTGATAGCCTGTGGTGAGAGGGATCCTGGTGAAGAGCAGGGTGAGCTCCACAGACCCCATCACCCACTTCCGGGACAGACGCGACAAGCAGGATCAGGGCACACTCACTGCCACATATTTCTTCTTGCCAAAGAAACACATTCCAATGTTATTCCAGAGAGGGGGACTTTCGGGGGCGGCACAGGCTACAACTCTGTACTTGGTGAGGGCCACGTCAAAGTCCCTGTGGGTCTGCATCATGCTGCCTGCCGCCAGGATGGCCTAAGAACAAAAACCAGTCAGCAGACCCAGGGTGGTGGCAGACAGGGGCCACTGAGTGCAGGTGCATACTCCGCAGGGTGTCAGTAGTCACAAATGACACAACTATGCCACTGCTGGTGGGACAGACCCACCTCATGTTTCCCACTGCAACAGTATTGTAGGGGCACTGGCCTTACCCAGCTGGTTACTCCCCTGCTGCTGCGACAGCCAGGAAAGCCCATACTGCAGGGAAATTGCCCTGCGCATATGCCAAGCAGCCCAACACCTCAGAAACTCCTATATTTGCTGCTCCAGAGCCCACTCTTCCTGCCACTCGGAGTGAGCCAGCCAGGGTGAGGGGAGGTAGGAGGCTGGAGCTACACAGGGTCCTGACCCCTGAAGTGGGGACTGGGTGTGATGCCCAGCGGCCTCACTGGCTGCGTCTCCTTGGAGCCATTCATCTACCCCAGGCTCTGCCTTCTCCCTGGTCACCTGTTCGCAGTCACTGTGGCTCTACAAGTTACACGGGCTTTGCCAGTTTCCCAAGCAACATCTCCACACAGCGCTGTGACTTTGATTCTCATGGAGTCACAGCCTGGCTGAAACAGGTTTTCTTGTATGACACCAAGCAAGGCACCACAATGTACAATATTTTCAACTAAGAAGGGCCACACCTGCATAGTTTCTCTTTTGAAAAGCCAACTGCTCAGGCTGGGTTACAGCTCAGTGGTAGAACACTGCCCTAGCAGGGGCCAGGGGCTAAGTTTGGTCCCAGTGCTGCAAGTGGCAGGGATAATAGCCCATTCCTCAGGTCTCCCCGAGAGGAAGCTCCCCGCTGGCTTTCCTGGTCAGGTCAGCCCTCAAAATTCCAGCCTGCCGTACCTTGTAGTTGGTGGGGTCATATGTCAGTGCATTTCCAAGATGTTCAAATGCCTTCTGGTACACACCAAGCTTGGGGAAAAGCAGAGAATTTACATGAGGGAGGAGGTGGCCAGCTGCATCCTAAACAGAAACACCTGCACATTTAAAGAAAACAGAAGCCCCTGTGTTTGTGGGGCTTTTTATTTTGTTGGCTCCTAGTAAGGTCCAAGCAGATATTTTCCAAAACGATCTCTGCCACTTTTGTGCTGTTCCGTGTTAATACCCCTTGGCTGGACATGTCTCGAGTCCGTGGCACCAGCTGCCCAAGCTGGGACCCAGGGTTAAGCTGCCAGCTCCTCTTAAAGAGGAGCAGGACAGGCAGAAGGGCTATCTGGCAGACCTGAAGGAAGGGCTGTCAAAGGAAGAAACAGAGTGGGCAGCCCCAGGCCAAGGTGGAGAAGCAATGAAGCTAAAGAACCATCCACTCTAGGGAATGCAGGGCGGAGGTATTTGTTTTCCACTGTGGACAAAGTGTGCTGTGTTGCCTCGGTTTCTTGTAAGACCCTGGCTGGAGGGAGCAGGACACAAACAGCCTTTGCTGAGGCCCAGTGAGTGCTCGCTTATCTCGGTTTCATCCCCAAGACTAGATGTGGTTTCTCACACCCTTTCCTGTTGGGCACCAATCATAGTTGCATAAAGGCTACAACAGAGTTCTTCTGATGTAAGTGAAGCAAATGAACTCCTCTGGCGAAGAGTATCAAATAGAGTAAGATTCATGTACTTTAACTATCAGAGTAAAACACATTAAATATCAGAGTGTAGAGGACGCCACAAGCATTTCCAGCACCCACAGGTGAAGACAGGGTATCCCTACCTGTAAGTAGAGCAGCCCCAGTGTCGTGTGCAGCTCCATGTTTTCCGGCGAGAATCTGTAACACAGAGATGCTCTGAGGGAGGTGATGGTGACAAACACGGACACTCATGCTGTTACAGTTCCTGTTGAGATGTCCCCCCTGAGCCTTATGCTGTCAGAGGGCTTTTACAGAAGTGGATGAATCTAATGTGTGTGATGCTGGGATTAAGGACATGTGATTAGGGGCTGGGGATTTAGCTCAGCGGCATAAGCACCTGCCTTGCAAGCAGGCAGTCGTGAGTTCAATCTCCGGTACCGATAAAAAGGAAAAAGACAAAAAAAAAAAAAAAAAAAAAAAAAAAAGGACATGTGATTAGTAAATCCTGCCAGTGACTGCTTTGCCATAGTTCTGGCTAGGATTAAGGTGTGAGTGCTACATCACCCTAGGGCAGGAAAACCTGTGCCCTCATGGCTTTTGCTGTCTTCTGCCACCATGAACCTATCTGCCATGCTGTCCTGCTATGGAGTTAGCCAACTATGCCTGAAACCTCTACAAACTGTGAGCTAAATAAACTTTCCCCCTTAAACTTTGGGTACTGGGTATTTTGTTTCAGCAACAAGGGAAAACACACGCATAGCCAGCTCCCTCGTACAAATTGAGGCCCTGTCGCACCTCCTTCGCCCAAAGAAATTCATGTGAAAATAAGTCCTCCTCAGCCAAGAATGATGTAACATCCATCTAAACCCAGCCTAGGAAACTTAGTGAGACTGTCTAGAAATTTAAAAAAAAAAAATTTTTTTTTTAAAAATGACTAGGCATGTAACTCAGTGCAAAGGTCCTCGGTTCAATTCTTAGTAATAGAAATTTAAAAAGTAGGTCGTCTCAACCCTGGCTACAGCAAGGTTTGTGTAGATAATTAAAAAAAAAAAAAAAAAAAAACCCAAATTCCTTTCTTAGGGCCATCATGCTAAGAACAGATCTGTTAACCGTGCTGTGCGACTGCCTTGACCATGACACTGATGAGGAACAAGGCTTCACAACCAGGAGAGCCTGGAGCGCATGGCTTAAGCCAGTCTCCCTGCGGGATTGCCTTCTTGTTTCCACTATGCTCACGATGCCATGCAGCTAATGTTCCATGTAACTTAGGACCAGGAGGCCCCTGCTGCTGCCCTCCAAATTAAACAAGCCTCGTGCTAAACAGCCAAGTTAAACACAAGCAGAGACACACCAGCCACAGGGACAAAGCGGCCCCTAGAGGCAGACTCCGGCTTCAGTAAAATAGCAGCTGCCTCTTCAGTCCCTACAGATCTGTTTAAAAGCCACAGCAACACTGGGGAGGCTGCAGGGTCATCAGACAGAAAACCAAGGGTGTGCAGCACCACCTTTTGTCCCTGAGGAGGGACGCAGGGTGCTGGTCATGTAGAGCGGAGCCAGAGCCGCCTGAGCTGGCCATGCGCGGCCTGTGCAGGTAGCCGGGAATGTGCCCTTACCACTTTCATCCCGAGACCACAGGAGGGGCCTCCCGGGCTCCGGAAGCATTCTGTCCCACTGGACACGACCACTCCCCCAACAACCTTGGCTGTCACCTGTGCTTGAGCAGTCACTGCACATGGCCACCCTGGGTCTGTTACATCAAAGTGGCAACTTCCAGAAGGCAGGCACTAAGAATCCTAAGTACCACAGAGTCCCCAACCACTTACATGGCTCCTCCTCACTTGCCCGGGGAAACGCCTCAGTCAACAAGTTTATTGTGCATTTTGCTGTTAAGAGACACAGCCTTACTTTGGAGCTCAGGATGGCCTCAAACTCAGTGATTCTCCTGTCTCAGCCCTGAATGCAGCCCTGAGTGCTGACCCCTGTGCCACCACACCAGCCTATAAGTACCTTTGGTAGTTTACCAAACCAAAGGGTTTTTCTGGGGTTTTTGGCATGAAAAGTGTGACTATAGAAAATACAGAAAGCAGTATGACTGATACAATTGCAAAATTTACTGTCATGATAGAAAACAGAGGTAATTAATAAATTAATAGAAATCTAAGCTTTATTCAGAGTCTAATTTTCAGGAGTAAAAAAAAAAAACAGACCCTGAACTACAGACCAGACAACTTAAAAAGAGACTAAACAGATGAAACTGAGAGCACCTTGTTACAGCTGCCTTACTTAAAACCAAACCAAACCAAACCCTGCACAGCAAAGAAGGGTCACCTGTATACTGAGGGAAGAAACAGGAAACCCCAGTGCAAGAAAACCAGTCCGTTCCACTGTCAGCAGGGGTCTAGATGACCCTAGCAATGTTTTTAAAAAGAAAACACACTGGGGGCTGGGGGTTTAGCTTAGCAGCATAAGCACCTGCCTTGCAAGCAGGCGGTCGTGAGTTCGATCCCCGGTACCGATAAAAATGAAAAAGACAAAACAAACAAACAAACAAAAAAAAAAAAAAAAAGAAAATACACTGGCAAGGTCATGTTGGTTTGTAATCCCAGCACTCTGGGAGGCTAAGGCAGGTGGACTGCCAAATTCAAGCTGAGGATGGGCAAATTAGTGACACTGTCATGGTTTATGTCTGTGTCCCCCAGGTCTCATGAGTTTGAATTGTGCATTTGTTATTCGTTCATTGTCTAGTGCTTGGATTGATGGTGTCCACACAGGGGTGGAGCCAGGATGTGATGTAATGGCAGGAAGAAGGTGTGTCTGGCTCTTTGCTGGTTCTGGCTTGCTGTTGGCAGCTGCCATGAACTGCAGCCCAGCCAGGCCCGCCTGTCTTGGAGCCAACTAAGTGTGGACTGAAACTTCCAAAAACTGTAAGAAATAAACCTTTCCTTTCCCAACTTTGGGCTTCAGGTATTTTGTCTCTGTGATGAAGTAAAAAATAACTAAGACACATAGACTCTATTCCAAATAAAATTATTTTTTAAAAAGGGTTGTGGATATAGCTCAAATGTGAATGCCCTAGGTTCAATTTCCAGTGCTGAAAATAAAAATTAAAACAAGACTCAAAAACCCACAAAAAACAAAACAAAACAAAAAAAGAACAGTGGGACTAAAGGTGTACGTCGATGGTACAGTGCACTTAGCATGTGCAAGGCACAGGGTTCTTCAAGCCCAGCACCAAAACAACTGAGACACTGGTCTCAGGATGACACAGTCAGATACACACTGCTGAGCCAGGAGGGTCCATCCCCAGTGTGACCTCTAGAAATACAAGATCTGCTATAAAGCATGACACTCATGCAGCAGATTTCCAGCTGCCCCTAGACCTTGCCCAGTACATGTCTGCCCTCCTCTCTTGCCACTGTGTGCTGCCCCTGACTAAGTCTGAAGCATGGAACACAGCAGGAGCTGTGTGTGTCACAACCTACTTCGGACACTTACTCCCTGTTTAGGTTCATGTGCCGTCGCCATGAGCACCACTGAGCACGTCAGGCAGCACTGTAACCAAGTGACAAACAGCCAGAAACAGACTCCCTGCATGAAGCTGCTCCCAGGAGCTGGCCACCTAAACCTCAGCCTTCCCATTCGCAGCACTCATGCGCACACGTGCTCTCGCTCAGGCTCAGGCTTGGGTGCTCATGTCCCCCCTCTGTGCCATCTCTCACTGCTCTAAACAAGGAAAGACACACTTACTCTACAGCCTTCTTGTAGATTTCGATGGCCTTGTCCACGTCACCCTGCAGCAGGTGAATCTTCCCCAGCATGATGTAGGTCAGATCGTGCCTGCTCAACTGCAGGGCACTGTGCAGCTGCTCCTGGGCCTGGCGAGAGTGACGGAGGAAAGGGAAGCAAGTCACTACCCTGGAAGGACACCGCAGCAGAGCCTCCACCCGCCTGACACCAAGACACTGTGCAGCTTGCAGTGTGGGCCGCCTGCCTCTGCAGCCAACTCTTGAGCACACAGGCACAGGCAAGGACTCTCAGCAAAACCTCTGACGCAGGAACCACAAATCAGCAAATAGGACCACATCCAATTAAAAACCTTCTTCACCCCAAAAGAAACAGCCACCAGAGTGGAAAGAAAACCTACACAGTAAGAAAAATTGTTGCCAGCTCCTCCTTGGACAGAGGACTAACATCGAGACTATATAAATATGGTGGCACATACCAGTAATCCCAGCACTTGGGAGACTAAGGCAGGGGGTCACAGAATTCAAGGCCAGCATGGGCTCTATAGTGAGTTCAAGGCCATCCTAAACTACACAGTGAGACCCTGTCTCAAAAAAACCAAAAAGACAAAACAAAACAAACAAACAAACAAAAAAATGAATTCAAAAAAATTAGACCACCTCACAATAAAATACCCAATCAAAAATAGGCAACTAGAATGTACAGACATTTCTCAGACCAAGTATAAATGGCCAGTAAACACAAGAAGAAACGCTCATCATCTCTGGCCATGCAAACTAAACCTATACTGAGGCTGCATCTTACCCCAGAAAGAATGGCCACCATCAAAACATCTAATAATAACAGATGCTGGCAAGGATGTTGGGAAAAGGAACTTTTCTACACTGTTGTCCTCAAAAACAAAAAACAGAAATTCCAGCTACTCCCTAAGTATCTACCCAAAGAGTTAAAATCATTGTACTCCAGCGATACATGCATGCTCATGTTTATAGTAGCAAATTTATACAGCATATATGCCTATCAACAGGTGACTGAATAAAGAAAATGTGGTATTACCCACAATGGAGTACTATGTTGTATAAGATAATTTGAGAAGTTCGCAGGTAAATGGATGCAACTTGAGAACATGTTAACTGAAATAAACACATAGGTTAAATATTGTATTTCTCTTACATGAGAAACAAAAAATATATATACAAGTAAAAAGCAAAATAGAAAAGATAAATAGGAAGTAGGGAAAGTTTCAGACAGTTCCCCAAATTACATACTATAAAATTACATACTTTCAAAAATATTTTACAATCTATGCTGATTTGCTTCATTTATACTATTAATTTATCTTAGTTTCCTGTAAAGGAACTTTTGTTTCTTCTTCGTAGGAATCTTTTTGGTCTATGTCTTATACTGTAAAATAATGACACACAGTGTATTAACTATTGTTGTTTTATCTGGTTATGAAACAAAGTAAAATATGTTTTCAGAGCATGTTTCAGACAGTTGTGATTACGTCTTTTACATTTAGGGTTCTGTTCACTTTTTGCTACTTTTCGTATTGAACATTTGCTTCTGTGCTGGAAAACTAAACTGTGGTAAAGAAAAAGCAAGCAACCGTACTATCATGCTATTTCTAAAGCCCTAGTCTCAATCCTGAGCACTGCCAAAGAAAAAAGGAAAAATGGGAACAGATGAAGAAATTTTTAATTTTTCTCTTCCAAAAGCTCTACATGCACTAGGAGAGTATGAGAAGTGCAGCGCTCCTGTCTGAGAACCCCGCGCCCCCCTTACCTTATGGAATTGCTTCAGGTACATGTGGCACACTCCTAGGTTATGGCAGATCTCCTGCAGCAGAGCAGAGGAAATGGCTGAAACCGACTCCAGAGAAGCTCAGACAACAGGCAGCCCAGGCTGTCCCTGACCAACAAAGGCGCCACTTTTTTAAAGGCACACTATGGTTGGGAGTTTTTTAAACTAGAGTTCACGACCAGCTATAAAATGAGTTCCTTAATATTTATTTGTAAATTATAGCTAAGAGATAAGAGCAGACTAAACAGATGATCTTCTTGCTCAGTGGCTGCGAGGTGCACATCCGGACTAGCTCCCCACCCTTGTTTCTCCAAACGCTGTCCAGCAGCCAGACCTGCTGTATCCTTCTTTTCTCTCAGGACAAGCCTGCAGCCCCTGCTTCACCCTTATGGAAAGCTTGTCAGCCTGTCTAGCTCGGGATGCCTGTAGCAGTCAGAGTCCTCTCTTGGGGCCCTGGAACTGGCTGCAGCCTTGTCTAGTAGCACACAAGGAATTCACAAGGCCATGTGGATGTGCGCCCCTTGGCGGCCGCCGCCATGGCCCCTGTATCATCTGCGGCTGTCTGAGGAAGGGTACGAGGAAGGCTGTTCGGCTTCTCAGCGGTAGAAAAAACTTCCTTCTCACTGAGTTGTTGCCAAACATAAGTACAACAACTGGCAAGCAGAATTTTCCTGCCCCCAGACCTAACTCGAAACTGAACTCTGCTCCTCATCACCCGCTCTCTGGACTCACTCTCCTACAGCACAGAAAAAGGTGATGAATTTTTACCTATTGTTATTTTATGGATATATGCAGGTAGGTGTGTGTGTGTGCGCGCGCACGTGCGCGTGTGTGTTGTGTCTGAGCTGGAGACTGCACTCTGGACTTTTACTGAGCTGCACCTCCAGCTCCACTTTTGTCCTTAGCTATAAAATAGTCCACAGTATTGCCAGGCATGGTGGCATACACCTGTAATCTCAGCACTTGGGAGGCTGAGGCAGGAAAATCACTGAGAGTTTGAGGCCTGCCTGGGCATACAGTGCGTCCAAGGTCAGCCTGAACTGCATAGTGAGACCCTATCTCAAAAAACAAAAAATAAAAAAACATGACTCAAACTACTTATCCTCACCCACAGCAGGCACGGGACTGACACACAGAGCACAGCTAGAATTCATAGTGAACACTGCAGAGGGCACAGATCCATCTGGCCCTCCTCATGTAGTTACGATTGCTCCCCAAGAATCCTGAAATCTTGGAAAAAGAAGAACTGGCACTGGTGCTTTAAGCTGTTTAGAAGGCCGAAGCAGGAAGATCACAAGTCTGGAGGCGGCCAAGGTAGCTTAGCTTAGCTTAGGGAAGCGCCTGAATCAAAATACAAAAATAAGGGCTTACGACGCAGTTTGTAGGACAGTGCCTGCCTAGGATGCACGGGCCCTGGGTTCAATCTTTAGTGCTGCAAAAGAAAAGAAATAAAGAGAAAAAAAAAAAAAAAAGGGAAGAAAAAGTTCTGGGAAGCAGAACAAAACTTAAAGAATCAATTTCAAGAAGGGCAGCTGACACTAAAAAACACCCTGGAGGTACTTTCCATTTAGGACCCTTCAAGGCATTCTTATTCAACAAACACTAAACATCCATAGTGTGGCAGTTATTTGTTACATGTTAGAACAGCAGACCAGGAAAGCTGGAGACGGTATTATAAGAAAAGACAGAGTTCTTAGAAATAAGAACTAGCTGGAGATTTAGCTTGGCAGCATAAGCACCTGCCTGGCAAGCACAAGGTCTTAAGTTCAATCCCCAGTACCAAAAATAAAAGAAAAAAAAAAGAAATAAAAAATATAGTTAATAGCCAGGTATAGTAACGCATGCTTGTAATCCTAATACTCAGGAGGACGAGGCAGGAGGACTGACACAAATTTGAGGCCAGTCTGAATTATACAGCAAGACCTTATCTCAAACAACAAAAACACAGTTACCAGAATGAAAAATTGAATAGAGCTGGGCATAGTGGCACACACCTATAATCCCAGCACTCAGGAGGCTGACATGGCTACAGAGGGAGACCCTGTCTGAAAAAAACAAAACAAAACAAAAAAAAGGAAAGAAAATAACAAAAAAATGAGCTCTAAGAGGTGAGAATACAGAATTTATTCGATCACGTCTCACAGAAAGTAGAGGAGTGCAGCAGACACTGCTAGTCACCTAATGTCTCGCCCCTCTCTTCCTTGCTGACAGAACCCTGATTCAGGGGTCAGGGAGCTAGCTCAGTGGTAGAATGCTTGTCAGCACAAAAAAACCTCAAACAAAACAAAAAACACAAAATAAACAGACAGAACCCTGTCGTAAGTGGTAATATATCCAGATTAAAATGTTTCCTATGCCTCCTCATCTGATGTAAGTAGACACTGTTGGAAACAGGTGAGAAACCTGTGCTTTCCTAATGCTGGCAGTGTCCTCTCCTCTGCTCGTTGCCGTCTTTTTCTCCCTGCTTAAAAATGGAGATGTGTGGCCAGTGCCACAGCAGTCAGCTTAACCAAGAGGACACAGCCGCTGCCTTCACATTCTAGGAAAACCAAGTCAATGACAGCAACTACTTAGCAGGACTTTGTTTCATGCTGGAAAACAACAAATTCCTAACTTGTACAACCAAGGCTTCGTCTAATTGTCTGCTGCAATTATACATGATTTCCAACTGACATAAAGAGACAAAGCTAGGCATGGTGACACAAGCCTGTGTCCCAGCTCTTGGAGGCTGAGACTCAAGAATCAATGAGTGAATGAATCAATGAAGGAGTGAACAAATACCACACTGCAACAATGGAGGAGGGGGAAAAAATCAAACAATTACTCCAGGAAAATGCTCACCCAAAGAAAGGCTATCAAGAGTGAAATAGTCAATGATGTCAAGCAGACTGGAGGAAAAATAAAATGGGACACCAATTGATAATAGTTTGGAACTTCAGTAATAAAAAGTGTGAATATAAAGATATTTGGGCATATAAGAATTCTGTTATAATAACAGGATCACTCTTTGCAGAACTGAACAATTAACCTATTTCCTTAAAAAACAGAAGAAAAAAAACCAGGGATATCGCTCAGGGGCAATGCGCCTGCCTGGCAAGTGTGAGGTCATGAGTTCAATCCCTGGTGCGGGGGGGAAAAAAAAGGAAAAGCAGGTGTGGTGGCACATACCGGTAATCCCAGCACTTGGGAGCCTGAGGCAGGAGAATCACTGTGAGTTTGAAGCCAGCCTGGGCTACAAAGTAAGTTGAAGGCCAGCCTGAACTGCACAGCAAGACTGCACAAAAAAGACAAAAAAAAAAAAAAAAAAAACCTGAAAAAGAAAGAAAGTCTGCTACTCACCCAATCTTTCTGGTTAAGTCTAGCTGCTTCATTGTATACTTCAATGGCTGCCTGATGTTTTCCCAAAAGAAATCTGAAAGACATATTTTCCATAATTAGTATCTCAACACTGCTTGTTTTGTTTTGTTATAAGGTCTTGATATGTAGCCCAGTCTGGCCTTGAACTCATGATCCTCCTGCCTCAGCCTCCTAAGTGCTGCGATTACAGGTGTAGGGGTGTACCACCACACCAAACAATCTCAACATTCTCACAGGACTAACTCCACCAGCCCCACATTTTCCTGTCTCCCACACAGTAGGGACTTCTCAAGGCCTGTTCCCGGGAGCCGCCATGCAGGAAGCCAGAGCAGAGGCAGGAGTTCTGGCCACAGTAGCTGCTTCCAGGCCTCTGTCTCATTACACATCAGTTTGAGCACAAGGCTCCTGTAATTCTTCTGATATAAATACCGACCAAAACCAGAACCAGCCAAGAGGCAGACCATCAGCAACAGCTGCCATCATTTATTTTGTCACCCAACAGGGACCTGGCCTTCCTCCCACATCACTTCTTCCTGAGACTGGATTACAACTTTGGAGACAAACAGGCTAGAGGGAGAAACTGCACAACACAGTACCCAAGTAAGAGACAATGCAGGGAGGGGAATGGAGACGGGGACCCTCCTACCCCACCACTCCCCTCCCCTGGAAACAGAGCATACTCAGTAGTTCAGGAAGACTATTAGGAAGTAGTTTCTGAGTAGTGACCCTTCAGGGCAGTCACTCACCTCACTAAAAACCTGCTAAGTGTGAGAATGGCAGATGTGGAAAGTCTGTGGGCTGCCAATGTAATCTGAAGACTCAAAGCATGAGACAATGCTGCTAACCTGGATTGGTGCTCTTCGATCAAACTAGAGGGCATAGTGCTTGCAGCACTGGCAGATCTCAGGCCACAGTGGCGCACATCTATAATCCTAACATTTGGGAGGCTGAGGTAGGCAGGGGTCACTGCAAGTTCCAGGCCAGCCTGGACTACAAAGTGAGTTCAAGGCCAGCCTGACTACAGAGTGAATTCAAGGCCAGCCTGAACTGCATAGGGAGACCCGTCTCAAAAAAAGCCAAGAAACAAAACAATAAAAACAACAAAAAACCTGGTTGATCTCATTCTTTCTCAAACATCAAGACCTCCCACACTCCAGGACGCATCAGTCCTGCTGCACCCAGCAAGTCCCTTGCCATAGAGCTGTGGCCCCGGCTCCCACACTCACAGTGACCGTGCGACCTGCTTGAAGTTGTCTGCATTCTGTGGGCTGAGAATAGCACACTTCTGAAAGAGATCCAATGATTCCTGGATGTTTCCTTCCAGGCGAAGTATCAGTGCTGCCAGGAACAGAAAAAACAGACCAGGAAACCACGGTCCAGTGTCAGAGGGGTAACAGGAACTCATTTGGATACAAGTAGGCCTCCCACAGATATCACTATGTGGATGAACGTGGAAAGCCAACAGAGCCATCAGCAAGCTGTGCTGATGTCCAGCACTGACTAGTCCTCTCAGCCTAGCCGCATGGCTCACGGGTGTCTCTGCCAGTGACCACAGAAACTACACAGGAAGGGCAGGCAGAGCTTCCCCCTCAGGAGCTTTATTTACTATGCCAATTCAGACTGCAGAATGCGACCGGGGAGGCTGAGGGGAGTTGACGGCCTAGGCTCAGCTCGGAGCTTCTGGTGAGGATGCGCAGCTTTGCATGTTTCAGTTCTCAGTGCAGCCACCAACCTGGACCAATAGTTCTTCCTAGGCTTATGTTTCCAGAAGAATTTCTCAGGGACTGAAAGCCTCGAGCTTGTAATGTTGAAAGGAAAGAGCCATGTTTTCGCAAGATGTACTAAATGCGTCACTATCTTAACAACTGTGCCAGGCAATGATGTACTCATCTGAAAACTATAAATGCAACATATGGTAAACAAAACTATTCATGAATGCCAAAGAGTCAAAAAGAGAGCTCCTGAAAAAATTCAGGATACTTCTGGCATTAAAGAATAAAATTTAATCCCAGAACCTGGGAGGCTGAGGCAGGAGTATAAATGAAGGCCAGCTCGGCTGACACAGTGAGACACTATCTCAAAACAAAAGAATAAAATTAAAGACCAATGGTTTGTAGATTTGGTTTCTGAAGAATTCTTGTCCTCTGCATCATCGTATATATTGATAGGCTGCTTCTCTTTATCCTCATGTGTCTCAAAACATCCTGAAGACTTTTTTCACTGAACTTAGCTAGACTCTAAAGAACCCCTCCAAAAGCAGCTTCTGGCCCTGAAACTCCTGCGTGAGGCAGGAATCCTAAGAATCCATTCTGAAAATCCCTAGCCAGACACTAAACAGCGGTGAATGACGGTTTCAATGTTTAACAGCACTTTTATGGTTTAGATCCAGACATCCCCAAGAATCTTCCATACTCCTAGGCAGGCCTCTGGAAGGTGATGGGATTTGGGGGCTCACAGCACGCTTGATGTTAGGAGGTGGGGCCTGTGGGAAGAGGCGGTCCCTGGGGGTATGGTCTAGGAGGTTCTTCCTGCCCCCGTTTCACCCCTCTCTCCAGCTCCGCCCCTCTCTCCACTTCCAGCCTGCCAGGCTGCCAGCTGCTCTGCCCCACTACTCCCTCTCCATGCTGCCCTGCCTGGGGGCCAGCAAAGCACAAATTGAAAGCTCTACAAGCCTCTCCTTCAACTATCAGTGTGGGCCAAGGCATCTTGGCGACAGGAAAAGTGACTAGACGGTAACAGTTACTTCTGAAATCAAATCCAGAAAAAAATATATCAATCACGTTCCGATTTCAAAAAAATACTGCACAGAGCTCTGTAGAGCGTTTACTTTAATTTAGGTATTTCCTAAGTTGTTTGGCCTTTTCAAGAACCCAAGCCAGGAATACTCTAGTAAGAAGAGAGGAAACACGGGTCTTACCTTGGACATAGATAGCATATTCACACAGTCCGTGAGTCTCCCGAAGCTGTTCTTTGATAACAGTCTGAAAGGGGAAAAACTATCTGTGAGTAGAAGTATAAGAGAAGGTAAACATGCACAGAGGGGCACATGGAAAAAACCTAAGACACTAACAACGTCTAACAAAGCAGTGCACTCACTCTTCAGAACCTCAGTTTGTGCTGTGTTTACTCATTTTAGAACACAATCGACAAACCAACAGGTTCACGGGTCATTTTTTGACAGCTCTCAAGCTAAGTAGTTTTAGACTTTTCTTTCTTTCTTTCTTTCTTTTGAGACAAGACCTCACTATGCAATTCAGGCTGGCCATGAACTCACTATGCAGCCCAGGCTGGCCTCAAACACTTGCAATACTCCTGCCTCCGCCTCTTGAGTGCTGAGGTTGCAGGTATGCACCACTACGCCCTGCGTTGTATTTTTAAAAAATTATAAAGATGACAACTATGGCTCAGTAAACTCTTGCATGGTGGCCACCCGCAGGCTGGAGGGCAGGGGTGGTGAACCTATGGTATCCATGACCCAGCTGGCTATTTATTATCACTGAGAGCTCTGAAAGGTTTGCCATCACTACTGTAAAGTGCACTTCTTTCCCTACTTTTACATGACCCAAACTTGCTCTGTGGAGCCAGTTGTTTGCCGTACCTTTAATAAAACTTTATAACCATTTTTAAAAAGAAGCAGATTATCAAATAAATACTATCTGTAACTTACAAAGCTAAAACTATTTACTATCTGGCCTTCTCAAGAAAACATTCCTAATGCCTGTATGAAGTCTAAGCAGGTAATACGAGAAATTTTCAGGCCATCACAGACACTAGAAGTTCTCTGATGAGCAGAACGCAGGCTCTGCTTTTCTACCATGAGGGCTGAGCCCAGGCTGCTCCTGGGAAGCTGGGGACGGCTCCTGAGGAAGCAGCCTCCAACTCTAAGTTGGCACAGATTGGAACATAGCCAAGGTAGCCAAGAGACACAAGCGAGAGGGATGCTGAATACCATCCTAAAAGCTTGAGTACAATGGGGAGAAAGCTGATAAATGTTAAGCAGGAAGGGCCGGGGATTATTTAGTTCAGTGGCATAAGTGCCTATCTGGCAAGCACCAGGTCATGAGTTCAATCCCCAGTACACACACACACACAAAAATTTAAGCAGGAAGGAACCCAATCCTATTTGCTATAAAGAAAAACCACTTTTAAACTGGACATGGTGGTATACACCTGTAATCCTAGCAGGTGGGGGGAAGGGGGCTGTGGCACAGGCCTGTATTCCCAGCACTCAGGAGGCTGAGGCAGGAGGATTGGAATGTTCAAGGCCAACATAAACTGCATAGTGAGACCTTGTCTCAAAAACAAATACATATATATGCAAATGATGAGTCTCACCATCAATATCATCACTATTTATCCAAAGATGTAAAGTTTGCAATATCATCGCTATTTATCCAAAGATGTAAAAAACCTCAGTAACACACTGAGTCGACCACTGCCTCCTGAAGGACACCAATGAGTCCGAGAGAACGGCTGCCCCATGGCCTCATGCAAACATAAGAACACGCATGGGTCCACAGGGACAATCCGTCAACGTCTGCCAACCTCGAGACAGACAGCGTGGGAACACCACCAGCCGCCTGCCACTGTTGTCCTCTGCTGCCCCCCATGGCCACTCACCTGGCAGGTCTCATAGTCCTTCCGGATGTAGTGCAGATGGAGCAGCCAGTTCAGCTTCTCCAGGACAGGGCACTCAGGAGCTGGGCAGCGAGTTTGACACAAGCAACACGGTCAGCATTAGATTTCCTCTTCCTGCTTTGTTCTCACCTCTAAATTACATACAAGCCACTGCAGCCTCTGCTAACTTCCTCCTGGCGGGAACCCTCAGGCTGGGTGCAGCAGGAACACACAGAACCGCGTGCCTGTCAGATGCTGGGTACCTGCCTCTCTGGAGTTTTTGTGGCTTATGAAGCCAGTTTCTAAGCTGACAATTTAGCCTAAAAAACATACAGCATCATCCTTTGTCTTTTTTCCTTCCCCTCTCCTGGGTGATCCATTTCAGGAATATTTCTAACTAAATCTGTTTAGTATTCTTTTTTTTTTTTTTTTTTTGTACCAGTACCAGGGATTGAACTCATAACTGCGCACTTGCAAGGCAGGCTCTTATGCTGCTGAGCTAAATCCCCAGCCCCTTACTCTTAATGGCATATGTGATCAGAACACCAAAAATACTGTGATTGGTTAAACACCATCTTTGAAAATGGCTCTAATGGGAACATGGGGACCTGCCCAGGAGTGCGAGGCAATAATGAAAAACATCGAAACATCGGGGTTGCTGAACATGGAATGTGCAATCAGTTACTTGTAACTGAAAGACCAAACTGTAAGATATACATAAAAATTCATCAATAAATTCCTTTTCCCATGGCACCAGGGAGGAGAAGGAACCATGACCACCTGCAAACAGTAAAGATCTTGACGGAGGGAGAGGACTGGAAAAGGTAAAAAAGAAACTTCAACTCATTCTTTGATACTTATTTATCAAAAAACCAAAAAGTCTTCAAATAAATGTAAACGCATGCTTTGGCTTAACAAATCTGGCTGGTGTGTCAACGGCGTATTATTTGTATTACATTTGATACATTCCTGATTTTTAAAATTGTTAAGGAAAGGGGAGAGCAGGGGAAGAGAGGGCAATGATTTGAAACCAATTTCTGAATGTTCCAGAACCTTACAAACAACAACCCACAAAAGCCTAAAACTTCTGTGTCCCTAATCCAACAGGGAGTAAACAGCACTTCCTGGGACCCAGAGGCAAGCTGCCCAACACAAAAATGAAGAGCAGTGGGCCCACTCCTCCTCAGGACAGGGAGCATCGGTGGGTTTGTAAAATGAAAGGATGACATAAAGTCTGGATCTATTCTGTATGCCGGAGGGAGAATGAGATGTTTTTAAGCAGCTTATCCTTCCACTCACCCCCCTCCCTAAGAAGGGAATCCTGTTTCCTTCCTTCTGTGACTTAGCCATTCCTATTCTGCCTGATCACTTCCAGAATCCCATGTTTCCTACTAAAAGCCACACAGACCACAAAGATTAAAGATGGGTAGATAGTAAGCCTAGCACTCTGGGAGGCAGGAGAAACACAAATTCAAGCCCAGCCTGGATAATTTAGCAACTCAGTGAGACCCTGTCTCACATTAAAGTTAAAATTATAAAGTTTAAAAAAGTGGTTATACATGTAGCTCCAGGCAAGGGCCCTAGGCTCATTTCCTAGAACTGAAAAATAAATAAATAAGCAAGCAGCTTCTATGGGTAATGTGACAGAGCACACCACAGTAAAGGATTCTGGGACACACGGCTCCATAGCAGTCTTGCTATGGAGTTCAGGCTGGCCTTGAACTCACTGCATAGCCCAGGGTGGGCTTGTGCTCTTGGTGATCCACATGCCTTAGTCTCCTAGGGCTGGGATCACAGGTATGCACCCACACCCAGCCAAAATGTGAACTTTCAGGTCTTGCCTTTTAAGAAAACTTCACAAAAAATGAGTCTTATCCTAGGGTGAAGGAAAAAAAAAAAAAAAATACTGTTTGTAAGGAGGCCCAGAACTGAACATGGTGGTTTCACTTCCCCATAAAACTGCCCTGACACCAATGTGACACCTTTGGAAATATAGTTCCCTTATCTGTGAAGCAAAGGCTTATTCATTCAACCAACACTCCCTAAGCGCCTGCCGTGGGCCAGGCAGTGCCATGGCCCTGGGGACCCAGAAGTGAGCCAAAGTGCTTCAGCCTCCAGGGAGCTTACAGGGCGGACGCTGACAGATGCTCCACAGCGACCCTTGGGAGTGGTGTTTTTCTACAGAGAAACACAGAGCAAGGCATGAGGACACAAAGTACAAGACCTAGGGTCAACCTTTAACCAGGAAGGTCAGAAAAAAGCTGGAAACAGTACCTGCTACACAGGAAGCCCAAAAAAAAGCGCAGCTACTCTAATGCTATTATGTCTATTATCATTAGTACTTAGTTATTCTCAAAGATGAGAGGGTGTTGGAGACCAGGCTCTACAGGGTTAAGCTGTGCAACACAGGGGCCTCTGGCTGTTGGAGAAGAGCAAATGCATGGTGCTCTGAAGTCAAGATAACCACAGCTGAGCCCCAGTCTGCTGACAGAGCAATATAGCTGATAATATCCAGAGCAATAAAGCTGCCAACCTGAGGGGTTAGACAGTTCTCTTAATCAGCAACATTTACTGCCTGAAGAAGTCTTTAAAGGACTGCCAAGGTCCTGCTCAGTTCCCACACTTGCCTCAGTATCCCCTCCTTCCTTTGTTTGAAAACCAAATCATACCACTTGCCTCTTATTTAAACCATTTGCTTGCCAGGTGTGGTGATGCATGTCTGTAATTTTAGCACTCAGGAGACTGAGGCAGAAGGATCCTTGCAAGTTCGAGACCAGCTGGGGCTACAAAGTGAACTCAAGGCCAACCTGAACTGCATAGGGAGACTCTGTTTCAAAAACAGTAAGAATAACATAAAACAAAATAAAATAAAATGAAATAAAATAAATAAAATCAAACCATCTGCCCACTTGTTTAGGAGATTGGGCTTGGCCAAGACCCCAATATGAGGGGGTTCAGGATGCCTTACAAATCCTCAAGAGTCCATGAGCCCTGATCCTAGTTCCAATCTACCTGTGAATGTAGAAGCTGCCTCTCTGATACTCCATATCATCGCTCACCCCAAGCCCACCACGCAGAGATTGGGACACTGCTGCCAGGGCTCTTGAGGGAAAGAGATGGGTCAGAGCACCGCAGCGCAGCCAACACTGCCCTGGAGGAGCCTCTGCACACAGGGGGCAGGCAGCAGCCGCAGAGGGACGCAGGCAACCCCTTCCTGCTCCCACACTGCCCCACCACCACCACCCAGGCAACAGAAGGCTGGCAGCTGGCAAATTCCACTCTTCTGTGACATCACTTCCCCTTCTTTCTTCCTTCCAGGCACAGTTTAAACAACTCCGCGACCCAGTTCTTTCCTACCGTGTCATGCCCTGTGGGCCTGAGCGGCCTTCACACAAATCTTATGCTACCTCTTGCCAACACCAGGGCTGCTGGCCAGGTGACAACAAGGCCACGCAGAAAATGACTAGTTCCACGTTCCAGTCACACATGTCCCTGAAATGACTAGGGCTTCTGTGAAAACTATGCACACATAGCCCTCTCAGGTCTCTCTCCGGAGCAGCCGACAGCTAGCACGGGACAGTTTTGGGACACAGAATGAGCTGTGGCCCAGCAGCAGCCTTCGCAGGCTCCGCCTCCCCAGGCCTTCCTGTGTGCCCTAAGATTTTCACTGGAAAACATGAAAAAGCTGGAAGCAGCCATTTGACAAAGTCAACTTGCTCCTCCCAACAGGAATTCTAGGCTTCTCTACCTCAGTGTAATAGCCGAGACATCAAAACATGACAGAACTTGACAAGACTGACAGGTACGACATTTTTATTGCTATCATTCTGAGCTCAGAATTGGTGAGGGCATAATGTGGAAACACAGAAAGCACCTGAGGATTTGAAACAGGGTATTGTAGGCGTGAACAGGTGGAGAGGAGTAATTTTCAATTTTAGCCACTCTCAAAAGTGAAAAATGATATCTTAATTTGAATTTTTCATTCTCAAGATGAGCTACATTTCTAGCCCAATATATTTTTTTAATACGTGCACATTTTACATTTAGATCTCTGACCCATTTGGTGTTCATTGTCATTTAAGAGGCACGAATCAAAGTTTACCTTCATCAAAACACCTGCTCTTGGGACTGGGGATTTAGCTCACTGCCTTGCAAGCAGGCGAACGTGAGTTTGATCCCTGGTACTGATAAAAAACGAAAAAGACCAAAAAAACCAAAAGAACAAAAACAAAAAACACCTGCTCTCCTGCCTCAGCCTTCCAAGTACCTGGACAATCACACACTGCAAAACACAGCTCTGTTTTCCTTAGATGATTTGGTCACTTTACCCAAGGGCATACTAGGATCACAGGGAAGCATCTAAAAAGATGCCTGACACAAGCATCAATTAGGAAAATACAAATTAAAGCCACAAGACCCCCTGATATACCCACTGGAAGAGCTTTTACAGAACACTGACCATGTTCTATGCTCCCAAAGGCACTGAGAAATCGGAATTCTGACACACTGCAGGCAGAAATACAACATGGTCTAGCTATTTTGGAAAACAGTTTGGGATAATTCTCATAAATATATGCTCAAGTAGTACAACACTAAAGTCTTCAGTGCAAGTGAAATAAAAATTTTTTGAGATAGGGTCTCACTATGGGTCAGGTTGGCCTTGAGCTCACTTTGTACCCCAGACTGGTCTCAAACTTGCAATGATCCTCCTGTCTCACCTTCCCAGGTGTAGGGAGCGGCACGACAGCCCCATTGCTGCCTCCCTGCTTCTCATTCCTATGGGCACATAATGCACCTGCCTACATTAACCATAATCCTCTCCTGCTTACGTCACATACCTGGAGGTGACGATGACCCATCAGAAACCACCCTGTAGCCTCTTCCTGTCCCACCAGCCCATCGTTGGCCCATAAAGGATGCGACCACTTTCTGAATAAATGAGACTTGACTGGACTCCTCAACTTGTCTCAATTTCTCTTTGACTCCCACCCTGTTCTATTCATCCCCGTTCCCCCTCCAGGTATATACCCCACGGATTGATCCGGATTGATCCGAGGGCCGGATCACCCAGGCATGCACTACCACGCCCAGCTCATAAAATGAAAATTTACATTCAGGTAAAACCCTTGGAATGAATATTTTTTTATTATTTTATTTTATTTTTATTTATTCATTTATTTTTTAAGACAGGGTCTCTATGCAGTTCAGGCTGGCCTTGAACTCACTTTGTAGCCCAGGCTGGTCTCGAACTCAAAAGAATCCTCCTGCCTCAGCCTCCCGAGTGCTGGGATTACAGGCATGAGCCTCCACACTCAGCTTAGTACTGCTTTTTCTAACATTCACATTTTTTAAAGTTCTAGTGCATCTACAATAGAAAAAAAAAAAAAAAAACCAAAGGATCAAGAAGGCAAAGTAAGCTTGTGCAAACACACATATTACAACAAAACTGCATACAGACCTTTTTTCTTGCCGAGTTTTTGAGATTCAGCAGATGCAGGAAACTGAGTTCTCTGAAATGACAGTTGTGGTCTATTAAAGCACCCCATATAGTGTATAACTTAAACATACATTCAAATATCAGGAATACTATCAGTTACACTATTACTTCATTAAATCCATGCAGGTACAAGGAATTATTTTAGTATGAATTAAAAAACAAATACCAAGTATACCTTTGCTATACAAACTACTAATATAGCACACATAAAGTAAACATTTACAGTGTATGTTTATACTGCACAAAAATTATAATGTATAATGTGTGCACTGTTATAAAAGCATTGAGTTCTTAAACATTTAACATTAGTATTGCACTTAATGCTGTGCTTTTCAGCAGCCACACCAGAAAAGTAATCCTTGTTTTTATATCTTAAAGATATACATCACCTACACAGAAAATGGTCAATTCTAGAAGTGAGACAGTATACTATCCTGCCAGGAAACCTTTAGGTGAATTTTTATATCAACTTCCTGTTTTACATATACCATCATATAAGCAAAAGTATGGCTGGAATTTTTCTAAACGTAAAAACTGACACTAATTCTTAGACTCTGGCTATGTAACAAGTCCTAAGCAGCTGAAATGATGATAAATATATACTTAGGTACAGCAAAAGGAACTTAAGACGTGCTTAAGGGCTGGGGGGCTACCCAGAGGTATGGCTTGCCTGGCATGGTTGAGGCCCTGGGTTCCATCCCCAGCACTGTACAAGCGTGCACACATGCATACATACACACACACAATTCCTAAAAGCAGCAAAAGAATGAATATATTACCAGATTACCTACAAAGAAATGACTATAATCCTCTAAGTGCTGACTTCTCAAGTATCACAGTGGGAAACAATACATTAACACAGCATGAGGTGCTGGATGTGGTGGCGCTCGCCTAGAATCCCAGCACTTGAGAGGCTGAGGCAGGAGGATCACCATGAATTTAAGGCCAGCCCAGGCTCCATAAGCATGTTTAAGGCCAGCCTGCACTATACATACCAAGACCTTGTCTCAAAAAATAAACAAACAGCATGAAAATACTACTCTAAATGTCAAGTATTTCATAACATGAAGAGGTGCCTATGGTGTGTGTGTGTGTGTGTGTGTTGTTTTTTGAGACAGGGTCTCCATTATGTAGCTGAGGTTGAACTTGAACTCACTATGGAGCTCAGGCTGGTCTCAAACTCCCCAAGTTCCCAGCCTACCAAGTGCTGGGATTATAAGTGTATACCACCACACTTGGCAAAAAGTATATATTGTTAAATAATATTTTTCCTATATGGGAATTATATAAAAGTCAGTTTCAATATCTACAAATGTTGTCAGAACATAACTATGCTCATGTACTTATGTATTGCCTGCAGTTGCTTTTGTATTACACAACAGAATTCAGTATTACTAGAAACCGTATAGATCACAAAGCCCAAAATATTTATTGTGACATTTTACAAAGGAAAAAAAAGTCTGGTGATCCCTGACCTACATCCTTACACCTATCAAAACTAACTTTCAAGAACAAAAGTGAATGTAAAAGACCTTCAGAAATTTGAAATTTTTAGATTCATTGTGGATTTCATAGTCCCCATACTACGCTGATTTTTAAGTATGAACATTACATTCAATACATTATAGACAGCTAAGTTAGACAGAATATTATAGGAGGTCAGACAGGGCTGGGCAATGGAAGGAGTCAGTGCAGAAGCCCAGAGATACCCTACAACTTTGGAGGAGACCAACACCTCCAGTGGGGCAGATCTCAAAACAAAAGATAAAACAAATGCACTCACACCTTAAGGATAAACATCAGGGATTGATAGTCTAAATAAGTATCTGCTTGACATCCTGATCACCTTGAGGAAGCCAGAAGGAGCCACTAATCCAACTCCTACAGGCAAAGCCCTGTTCCCAGCTTGCTCTGTGACTCACTTCCCTATTGGGTTCTGCTTTAATCAATCTTATTTGAGCAATTATACTCTTAATCTTATTGGTTGACCATAATTCTGCCCTACCTCATGCCCACCTTGCCAGTTTCCTTTTTCTTCACTTTAGACTGGGCTCACCTGTGGTTTTTCTCTACAAAAATCCCTAAAGAAGGTGGAGTCCTTGGCAATCCATTCAGGACCCCTTCTCCCCCACACCAAAAAGCCTTCTTTCCCTCAATAAATATATTCTGCTCTTATGCTGTTCCTAAAATAATTCATTTTTTGATTTTAGAGAACACAAACTCATACTAGACATCTAGTAGGTTGGGAGTTTCTTTCCCCTGTATGAAATACAATATTTTCAAATTTCTTTGGTATTCATGTAAGACACAGTATATAACTTCTAAGCAATGACATGAGAAAAGCAGCAAGGAGGGAAAAAATAAAATTCTCTAGTTTAAAACAGAGTATGAGAATGGATTTGAGGGAGGTATAGGGAATCGAACTCAGGAACTTGTGCTTGCCAGGCAGGAGCCACGCTGCTGAGCTATATCCCTGACTGAGAATGAACTTTTAAAAATATCTACAAGCATGCTGTTTTTCAAACACATAGCTAAAACAAGGGAAAAGAGTAAGAGAATGGGAGAGGATCCATCAGGAAAACAAAAAAAAACAAGGAACAACACAACACCGACAACATAGACATCAATATGGGAGAGTCATGTACAAGACAGCAAAGTAAGTTTTAATGACCAAACCGTGTGTAATACTTAAAATTATCAAATTTTATGGTATGTGTATTACACACACAAAAAAAAAAACTTGTTTATTTTCAAGTGCTGGGGATTGAATGCAGGACCTTTCATTAACGAAAAGGGCTCTACCACTGAGCTATATCTCAGCTCCTCAAAACTGCTTTGAAAATGTTAAAGGATACCATGTAAACATATACATACATATATGTACACCATATATACACAAATATGCACACCATATAAATATATACATATATGCACATCATATAAATATATACATATATATATATATATGGATTATTTTTTGAGACATGGTCTAGCTATACAGTTCAAGCTGTCCTTGAGCTTACTCTGTAGCCCAGCCTGGCCTCAAACTCCCAATGATCCCTCTGCCTCAGTCTCCTGAGTGCTGGGTCACCACACCTGGCTTAACTGGTATTTTTCACTTTAGGGAACATATTAAGTCTTTCTTGTTGGGCATGGTGGTACATTACCAAATTAATTGAGATAGCAAAATCTACGCCCACTCCCCTTCTAGTATTTTTTTAATGTTTATTTTCCAGTTTGCTTTGTTTTGTTTTTTAAGCAGGGTCTTGCTGTGTATTCCAGGCTGGCCTCAAAACAATCCTGCCACGGGCAGGCTTCTAAGCCCTTGGGATTACAGGGACACGCCACCAGGTCCCACACCAGCTCTTATTTAAATACACATCAAGGCTTCCCAGTCAACATACATATTTATCAATTTCTTTTAGCGGCTCCTAATGTTCCTCACAGCAAGGAAACATCTCAGTGGCTCAGCAGTTGTTATTTAACTTGATTCCAGCTTTTTGCCACCAGAAACAGAACTGCCATATGCTGTAGCTGCACTTTTAGTGGGACTGTAGAGTCTTTAAAATTTATTAGAAGATGCAAGGCCATTTCCAAAACTAGACAAAAATTCAAATTTCCATGCAATGAGAACTTAAAAAAGATCAAATTACTATTATACCACAAGCAATAAATTTGACAATTTAACTTGAAGTTAAATGTTAATGCCATACAATAAAAACAAACAGGACTATAGAAATTAGATCCAATGTCAAAGAAATACCTCAAAAAACTACACCTACTATAGAACTACTGGAGACATAGCCAAGGGACATAAAATCAGTATATTAAAGAGATATCTGCACTACATATTTATTGGAGCACTTCACAATACCAAGATGTACAATCAGTGCAAGTATCCAACAATGGCTAAACAGGCAGATGAGAAAATGTGATACACATATACAGTGAAATATTATTCAGCCAGAAAAATGAAAGAAATCCTGTCATTCACAACAACGTGGATGGAAATGGGAGGCATTTTGCTAAGTGAAAGAAGCCAGGTACAGAAAGACAAATTTATGCATATTTTTGCTCCTAGGTAGAACCTAAATAAGCTCAATTCCTGAAAGTAGAACAATATTCACTACAGGTTGTTAGGAAGGGTATAAATGAAAGGAGGGAGAGGTAAGCTATATCACAAAGGTCAAAATACAATTAGGAGGAATAAATTATAAATGTTTTACAGCACAGGAGGGTCACTGTAGCTCGTAACTTATTATCTATTTTAATCAAAACTAGAAAAGCTGGGCACCATGACACATGCTTGCAATCCGAGCACGCTGGGAGGCTGAGGCAGAAGGATTACAAGCTCAAGCCCAGCCTGGACAATTCAAGGATGTAGCAAGACCACATCTCAAAATAAAAAATGAAAGTGGCTGGAGGTGTAGCTCCGTGCAAAGGGCCCTAGTTCAATCCCCCCTCCAAAAAAAAAACTAGAAAGGAGTTCGAAGGTTCCTAAACGCAATGATAAATACTTAAGAAAACAGAAATGTTAATTATCCAGATTTTGTCATTATACACGTACAATTATTATATGTCTGGGGAAGGGGCATAACTGGGCATTGAACCAGGGCCTTCAAACTGAGCTACTGTATGTCTCCAGCCCTTTTTTAATTTTTTGAGACAAACTGGGTTCGAATTTGTGATCCTCCCGCCTCAACCTCCTTCAGTGCTAGGATAACAGGGAGGCGCCACTGCACTCAGTTATGATATATGCATGTTTTAAATGTAAATATCCTTTGCTCGCTTTGGCAGCTCATTTACTAAAAACGCTTAACGACCCTGCCCACCACGAGCTCCTTTGGGATCCTGTGCAACTGGAGGTCTGTGGGGCTCAACGCCTCAAACCACCTGAGCAAACCAAAGGACCTGCACAGAAAGAAACGCGGGTGCATGGGCTGGGGGTTTAGCTCAGCCGCATAAATGCCTGCCTAGCAAACACAGGGATATGAGTTTGTTCCCTAGTACCCCCCCCCAAAAAAAAAAGAAAAAAGAAACGCAGGTGCTGAGCCCTGGGCGTTGTCAAGTTTAAGGTACTAATAATCCAGGATTAATACACTTTCCCGTCCAAACCCAGAGAAGGACCAGGCAGGGCTGGGAGAGCGCTGCCTCCGGAGTGAACCTCCTTCCCACGCGCGGGGAGACCGAGTTCTAAAACGCGATGCTGGGGGCTGGGGATTTAGCTCAGCGGCATAAGCGCCTGCCTTGCAAGCAGGCAGTCGTGAGTTCAATCCCTGGTACCGATAAAAAGGAAAAAGCCAAAAAAAACAAAAAACGCGATGCTGGCCTTCACCGGTCAGGCCGCCCCGCCACCCCATTGATTCTACATGCCCCGCCAGCGGCTAACACACTAAAGAATCCCCATACTCACCGTCGCCATTTTGACCCTGCCCACAACGCGCGACCGGAAGTTAGCGTTGCCCAGGAGACAGGCAAAGGGAAGCGGGGGACTAGAGAGCGCAGGGAGGACCCTGCGCAGGGCAGGAAGTAGATCGCCGAGCGAAAGATGTGGTGCGGAAGCCGAGCGACTTCCGGTGTACGACAGCGCGGTCACAGGCTCTAGGGGACGTCTAGTGCAGCGTCACACAGCAGCCTTTATCCTCCTTATTTTGATTTAGAAATAAAATGAGATTTTAGAAGGAAACTGACCTTACGATGAAGAGCTACCTCGCATAGGCTGCCTTCCTGCATGGGCGTAAACTAGATCCAAACAGCGATTGCGACCATGGATAATAAACACGTCTTCGCCTCTGTCCACCGGCCTAACCACGTAGCATACTCCAGGTATTTAACCTTACTCAGCAGGTCTGTGAGTTAATGCTTAGTCTGTCCACTGGAAAAATGTGTGGGCTTTAGAATCATATATAATGTCTATCTTGACATTGCATGACCTGAGCCAAATCATTTCTCTGAACCTCATTCTGGCGCCCAGAACGACGGAATAAACAAAGCAGACGGGATCTCTGCGCCCCGAGGAACGACCTCAGAGGAGAGCGAGTCAGTCATTAATAAGTAAGAACATTTATGAAGAAACAGTTCACTGAATACAGATGACTCTTAAACATATGAAAATAAAACTGCAAGGAAGAAAAAAAGTTGCACATCCATATTCCCAGGGGACATTTTCCATCTTTTAGGTTGGCAAAGAATGAAAACTTTCCCGGATATTTGCAATTGGAAACATGTATTCTTCGTCACTAGTGGGAATGTGACTTGGTAAAGCACCATTAAAAGCAGTTTGGCAGTAACTTCTCTGAGCACGGTGGCTCACGCCTAGAGGCAGAGGCCGAAGGATCAAGACCAAACAGACAGCGAAACCCTGTCTCTAAAGAAGAAGAAGAAAAAAAAGTATCTTTGACTCAATTAATTCATTATAGGAATTTATTGTGTAAATACAGATGTGGGACATTGCTTAATATACAGATGTTCAGTGCAGCATTGTTTGTGATGAACCAAAGCCTGCAAACAAGCTAAAGGCCCAACAATAGAAGTAAAATAAATTATGGCAAGTTGACACTGTATGGCACATGAAAACAGACAGCTATTTACATATTGATAAGAATTTCCAGTATACATGATTAACAGATAAATACGAAGTGCAGAAAAATGCCTATACTGCGTTAATAAAGAGGAATATTTATGTACATAATTACTTGTGTACTCAAAATATTTCAGGACAGCGTTCAACGCATTAAAAGTGGTTCCTTCTAGAGGCTGGGGATTTAGCTCAGCGGCATAAGCACCTGCCTTGCAAGCCACTTTTTTTTTTTTTTTTTTTTTTTTGTCTTTTTCCTTTTTATCGGTTCGATCGCCGGTACCGATAAAAAGGAAAAAGACAAAAAAAAAAAAAAAAAAAAAAAGGTTCCTTCTAAAGAGAACTAGATGTTAGGTACAAAGGAGTAGATGACTTTTCACTCCATATCTTTTGTACAATTTGAATTTTATATTATGTGGATATTACCTATGCCAACATAAATGGGGCCGGGGATATGGCTCAGTGAAGGTCCTGAGCTCTATTCCCAGTACCAAAAAAAAAAAAAAGATAAATGCTAAGAAGGAGAAACATTGGCTACTAAGAGCAAACAACAGAGGAATCCAATCTAGACAGTGATGGGTAGGGGAGTCGTTGCCTGAGCTACATAATGAGTTGGAGGCAAGCCTCGACTGCAATAGCGAGGCCCTGTTTCAAACAATAAAATTAAAATTAAGTAAATAAAATGGAATTTACCAAAATAAAAAATTTCTTAGCCAGTCAGATTGACTGGATATACTTATAATCCCATCATCTGTTTGCGGGGGGGACCTACAAAAGAAAATTAGACTCATTGAGGCTGGGGATTTAGCTTAGCAGCACAAGTGCCTGCCTGGCAAGCATGAGGTCATGAGTTTGATCCCCAGTATCAACAACAGAAAAAAGAAAATTAGATCCATAAATATAATCCCAACACTGAAGAGACTGAGGCAGGAAGATCATGAATGCAAGACCAGCCTGGGGTACATAATATTTTAGGCTAGTCTAAATATATATATATATATATATATATATATTTTTTTTTTTTTTAGATACGAGTATCACTGAAATCTGCAACTTTTTTTGTAACTTAGCACATGTCACAAATATCACAACAAAATTTGCTGAAGATGTATCATTAAACAATGCTTTAAATATATTTTGTGAAATAATATCTAATGGCTGCATGCTATATTTTTATGGATATAACAATTTATTTCTTTACTGTTAAGAACTTAGACTTAACTCTGTATTTATTTGAATGCTAATAGTTACCCTTTAACATATGAATGTATATAGGTAACATTTATATAATTATTATCAACATGTATACAGATTTAATGCTCATGTTATATATATGAAGTGTATATATCACTTATGTTAGCCTATAGGTTATATGCAGTAAATGTCTTTAATAGCTATGTACATGTGTGTGCTCATGGGTCATGTATTCCTCTCCCAGAAGGATTCAGTCTCACAAGAGAAGGTGTTAGATTGAGACAATGAAATCTTTGAGATTTTATTACTGCTACTAAGTTGTTAAGATGTATTTAATAAGATTTCATTTACTAACAGTATATGATGATGTCTGTTTCCTCAAACTGGCCAATTCATGCTAATTTTTAAAAATATTTCTCAAGATAATTGGAAAAATGATACCTAAATTATCTGTATTTTTCTGACAGGCATACAAAGCTGCGTATCTCTAGTAAAAGCAAGTAACTTCTTAATCACAAATACACGCTCAAGTTAGATTTTGTTGTATAGAACAGTAACTATCCACAGTCAAATATTTCCATAATCTTACCTATCATGTTCTTCATTCTTCTCAGTAGGCAATTGCTGGGCATCACTTTTTCCACTCTTTCTTTGTTGAGTTAACCCATCATTGTTGTTCTCAGCAGTGACAACAGTGGCATCACTTGAGTTACCTGATTCTTCCATTTCATTACTTGTTTGCTTCTTTTTTCCTTCAACCTTTAATGGAAGTTTGATGTAAAGGAAAACTTACTCTTCACTCACTAACTTTATTGAACTTTTTGTTTATTGTATCACTTGACTCAGTTCAGCTGTCATTATCTCAGTCCATAAAGATATATTTTTTTCTGCAGCACTGGTGATTGAAGCCAGGCCCTTCACCCTGAATTATATCCTCCATCCTTTACATTAAATTTTCAGACTGGACATCACTAGGATCAGGTCACCAAGGCTGGGATCAAACATGTGATCTTCCAGAGTGCTGGGAGTACTGGCATGTGCTACCATGCCTGAGCCATAAACAGTATTTTTTTGTCTGCTTTATCAGACACAAACTACAGGACAATGAAATTTTTCCAAATTCTGCTCCATTTCTGTTTGAGTGGAAGAAATTTTGAAAAGCACTATGTTATATTTTCATTCACCTTGCTATCCAACATTTTCATTCCCTGTATTACTGATAGAAGTAAAAAGGCAAAGACAGAGTGGGTCTTTTATTTAGAGAACGTGCTACTGTGGGGCTTTCAGTAACAAAAGCTTACAATTTCAGCATCAAGGTATTCTTTCTCCTGCCTTTCACAATTCTTTTTCCATTTGGATACTCTAACTGTGATTTCAAGACAATGTAGGTACTCACTGAAATACAAACTCAAACCAGTGCAGGCCACAACACACCAAACACAAGGAATCAGAAGTAATTCAGCTTAAAGGATTCCTGCAAAGCTCCTCAGTGCTATTACTTGCATTTTATGGTGCCAATGGAGAATACAACTGCATAACACAAGAACCAACAGATTACCAGGTGAGCTCATAAAAATCAAGCCAAAAAATTGCAAGTGTGATTATTGGCAAAATAATATAACGGCTTTGTGGTATATGAGGAGGCCCATCTGCTTTGAAAGAATATCTCTACATTTTTGCTTGTCATTCAAACTCAGTGCACCTCAGAACTTAGATTGCTATGTAGTAGTCAAATAACCAAATTTTGACTGAAGATTATTTTTTCTTGAGATAAGATCACATACACCAAAACCTACCAAACTTTATAAACTTCATATAAAGAGCTGATTAACCAGAAACAAAATTTAAGAGCAGTAATAATAAATATGTGGAAGGATATACCATAGGTTTTTCCAAATCACCTGAGGTGATTATCTTGGAATTACACAGTCCAGTGATTTGAGGAAAAAGGTAAATTTGCACATATGACAGCATAAAAATGGACTCGTTTGACTAGAAGATTCATGGCAAATCTCAAACCTAGATATATTTTTAAATCTCACTCATTGCTTCTGTCTCATTTCAACTTCTTTTATGGTTTAAACATAACAAATGCAATTTATCACTAAAGCAATAGAAAAATAAAACCTAGACATTAGTTTTTTCAAGCAACTTCTCTATGTACACCTTGGTTCAGGTCACAAGGTAAGTGCTCTGTTACTGTCCCAGGTTACATGCAACTTGGGAGACTCAGAGAAAGGCTGATGAAGGAACAAGGATCACAAGAATGTTTTCCCAAATTCCCATTATTTAGATAGTAGAAATGAACTCTTTCTGGACACGTTTTCATATTTAGACAGCCTCATTTTATATGTGAACTCTTCACAGGTTGAAAACCAGAATGTAACTGGTAAAGAGAAAAACCAGCTAGCACTACGTAAACTACTCTTCAATGTTCTGCAAGTGCTCTGCCACTGAGCTACAAGCCAGGCTGGCTTTTTTATTTCTATGGGAGACAGGATCTTACTCAGGTGCCCAGGATGGCATTGCAATGGGAATCCTCTTGCTTCAGCCTAAGGAGCTGTAATTACAAGTGTGCACCAGCACTCATTGCAGGGGATTGGGGAGTACTTGGGATACCATCATACTGGGCATCTGTTATATACATTTTCAATGCCGAGACAGGGTTTTGCTAAGCTGTTAAGATGCCCCATTTGGGTTCAAACTTGCTGTCGTCCTGCCCTGGCTTCCCAGAGCACT